CGTCGCCTTCGGGGGAATCAGTCTTCTCCCGCCCCGACCGTCTGCATTGGCGAGAGGCCTATGAGGAAGGCCACCGATTCACGATCATTATCCCCCTATCTTTCCATCTATTTATCCGTCTGTCTATAAAGTGAAAGAGAACCCGAAATCGATCCTGACGGCGGCGACAGCCATTAGATACTTCTCGGCGGAGCCATCGCGCGAGGTCGTAGGCGTGGGACGGACGATACGCGGTAAAATGGGGGGAGAGGCGCGCAGGGCCTAGGAAAGATTACGGCCGGCGTAGAAGACCAAAGACTCGGGCCCCCGCGCGCACCATCAACTACAACGAAGAGGTTCGGATGAGAGATGCCGAGAGCAGCGGCTCAGCCAAAAGCCTTTCCTTTCCTCGTCGATAGATCGACCCCCGCCCGCTGAATGCGCGGGCGGTGAGGAACTGGAAAGGGAGCGGTGGGCTTCCGGCTTGGTCTTCATTGGAGCCTCCATTACATTACATCCAGGGATTACATGCAGCTGTGACCGTGGGACCCCGTCTCGAGATGCAGAAATGGGGGAACGGGAAGAATCATCTCGGTCAAGGCATCGCCCGCCACCGTGCATTATCTTCATAGCCTCAAACTGATTAGGTTTAGCCCCATGCAGCCAATGCCACTGCCATTTAATCAAGCCGTTGACCCGGTCCGCCCGTGAGCTATTGATGGTCATTAATCGCCATAGTGTTGGCACGACGACGGGCAGTGGGCGACGCCCTCGAACCCCGCTGAGGCCCCATCAATAAATAGCGCGATGCTGAACGTCAACGTGCTTCCGTGGGGAACAGTGAATACCGGGGGAATATCTGATCACTCCTGTCGACCTGGGAACATAAAAGCATTACTGTAAACAGGCGACAGATCGGCCACTGCCTATCGGAAGAAGAAGAAGAAGAAGAATACATGCGCCCATCGGCCGGTTTGCTCTCGACATCGATCGGTCTGTAGTTTCCCATTGACCAGTTTGCTCCCGATGTATGCATGCGCCCTGGGATACTTCTTGGACCAGGGCGGTCCAAGCATCGGGGATGACAAAGAGGTTCATTGATGTTTCTAGCCAAAGATCTGATTATCCCCGGGCGTTGGGCAACGGGAGGTGAGAGTGATTGAATGCTCTCCGTCGGTGGTTCACTCATGGCTGTGGGTTCGGGCTCTTCTCCCTTCCTGACACAGGCTCCCAGCCCTTGGTTTAGCTCTGTCGATGGCTTACAATTAGGCATCCACTTCCGCAGAGTCGATAGCTGCGGAGTTCGTGTCGTCTCGTAGAAGAGCCATCCATCCCCATACATGCTAGCAGGCGGGTTGATAGAGGGAGAGGGCGTTGCAGATGGTGCCCTACGTCACCCACCGTGCATGGTCACGTTTGAGGCAAACCGAAGGCGGTTCATGCATTTGCCCACCCTCTGACTAGGAAGCTTCCATCTAATAAAATCTATTTACGACTGCTCCGTTGCCGAATCTATGGGCAACTTCTTGTACCCGGTCACAAATCGTCGATTGTGCTACCTTCGCGCGCCAGCGCCACATGGGAGGGGTGTGTGCCTGAGAGGGAAAGAGAGTGAGAGGGAGAGGGAAAAATAGTGGGAGAGAGAGGGAGAGGGAGAGGGAGAGAGGGAGGGAAAGAGAGTGGGAGAGAAAGAGGGCGAGGGGATGTTCTTCCTGGCCGTATCAGTTGCAGTTTCATTGCTTCAGAGGGTATACTTTGTCGCGAGGTTTTCTCATTATTAAGGTTGTCATCTTGCAAAGTTATATATTCTTGCGATGGAAAATAGATCGGCCACCTACTCTCCCAGGAGAAGCGGAGCTTTCTTATCGTCTTTGACCTTGATCCTGTCGACCTCCCATTCCATCATCTCCAGCATCGATTCCCGCTCATCCCTCGCACTGGAACGGCCTTCCATCTTCTGCCCCGAGGTATTCTCATCCTCCTCTCTTTTCCGTAGATGTTTTCCTTTGAAATCCATTTCCTCTCACGCGGCCGACTAAGGAGGTGAGATGGCATCTGAGGCTGGTTCAGGACGTCACACGTATCCCACAGCCATAAAAGGAAGACGGCCCCTACTAGCCGGGGGAGGAAACGTTGGGTTTTCCTCCTCTTCCCTCGGTCGCTTCAGGCTGACCCTTATGAATCGAGTCATTCTAGGAGTTGACCCACTCCTTGGGCTCTAGGCTCTGACCCATTCGTGGAGCGCGTTTCCCCCACATTCCGTCCCCCGCATCGAAGAAAGAAACCCTACTGGGTCTTGGCGCCAGGGAAAGCGAGTAAGCCTCAAGGAGATCCCCCCCTCCCCCCCCGTCTTCCCAGAAAATTCGGAGAGTGCCGCCCAGGTTTCGCTGCTTCGATCGTCGCCCCGCAAAGGGCCATAAATTCTGAACCCGAGGAACGCGTGAGATCGAAAGAAACAGGTTGAGGGCGGGGCAGCTTGGGGCGTGCCTCGCAGTCGGTCAGAGAAGGGGGGAAGAAAAGAAAGATGACGTAGAAAGCGGTGCATGTGGTGCCCTCCCGGCTACCCCGACGCGGTGACTCCGAGATTATGGACGGTTTTAGACCAAACCAGCGAGACCCACAGGACGGTGCGAGAAGTCAACGCACACTCCCCCCATCGTCAATGGAACGTAGGAAAACGCCCTGAAATTCTGATTCTCATCGAGATTGGCAGGGGTCCCTGATCCTCGCCCAGGCCCATCCCGCCCCTACCCTTCGGAAAGAGGAAGCGCTGGCTCTCTCTTTACACGGGGCGGAAATCACATTCAAAGCATAAGATTTAAAGGGCACGTGGGGTAATTATTGGGAGTTAACGCTAAGCCGCTCTGCCCATAAATAGACAACAACTATGAAAACCCTGTCCGCATCGAGAGTCTTTACAATGACACAACCTCGGGGAGGCGTCAACTGATAATCGTCAGGAACAGGGGCGCCTACTCGTTTGCGCTGATGTTCGTGGGGCAAAACTTCTCATCTACCTGTTGACGCACATCTCGCAGCTTTACAATCATTTTTTTATCTACTTATTTACGTACCTACTATCCACATACGTCTCTCTCGATTGTCTCGACATGATGACTTCCTTCATGGGTCATACGAGGGAGGGCTTCCCCCTCCCTCACCTTGAACTTTTGTCCCAGTTCTCAGAGGACGGGGGGAAGGGGGTGCCGGTGTGCAAGGTGCTGCGCCGGTCGTAACCGTCGGCTCTCCGTAGACTAATTTCTAGCAGTTCCCCGCCTCCAGATCTCTCCTTCGTAGTACCTTTGTGCGCTTTCTTACAGCAACAAGGTGCGGTGGTATCGATTTGATGCGTCGACCAAGTATTTTATCCTCTGCACGCGCGCCGTGTGCATGCAGGCGCTTTAGACCCGGGGGAGGTGAGACCAAAGGGCGGCCACATATGACTTTGTTGCAGCAGGCGACGAGAGTCCCGCGGCTGCCCCACCGCCGGCGGAATTTCAACCGTGCGTTTTCTTTTATTAATCGAGTATGCGCGACTAACCGGTCGGTTTCCTGAAGAAACCCAAGGAGCTTGTGCGAGATCGCCACCTCTTCGTTACGTTGCCCTGCTGCTGCTGTCGCTGTCTGTCTGTCTGTCTGTCTCTGTCTCTCCCTTCCTTTCTCTCTCAATGACGGCATTCCGGACACCAGGAGTCGGAGAATCGGCAGGTTAGCCGTGAGTGGATTCGAGACGTGCGAAATGGGGTAGCAGGGCTAAGGCCACTCTGACCGTACGAGGACTACAGAACCAGAGGCCACGTCATCTGAATGACTGCGGACGTGAGGCCGAGGGAGGGTTCGTCTCGTCACGTCCTTGTCTGGCGGCGTTGACGTACTCCCAAGAAATAAAAATTACGGCCGCTGATGTGGGAAGTCTGAAAGTCGTTGTCCGGAAGGAGAGGGGGGTGAAGGGTCTAGTTGTCGCGGTCACCACCGCCGTGATGAAATGAAGGCCCCGCTCTCTCCCTGCCTTCTTTAAGGCCAGTAGTTGGTTCTGGGGGGGGAGGGGCTTTCTCCGAAGCTTCCTATCAATCCGCTGGTCTTTCGCAGACCGACATCGTGTGGACTCGGGCCGTTCCTTGGGGCTTCGAAGACGGCCAATGGGACTTGGAGATCCCCGCGCACCATCACTCTGTGGGTGCCCGCGCCCCACGCTCGCTCGCTTCGAAAGAGGAGGCACCGGTTTTTGCTTCGCTAAGATATCGTTCTCCAATCTCTCTCTCTCTCTCTCTCTCTCTCATCCCTCGTCAAACCCTTTGTTTTTTCCTCTCCGCGTCTTCTGCGTGTTCTCTCTGCCTCCTCCCCTGCCCACCCCTGGATCCACCTCTTCCTGTGCCGCCGCCTGGAGCGAACGCGGCCATGAACGATGCGGGAGTCCCGTGGTTGGCAGCGTCAGCGAATCATCATCCCCGCGCCACTGCTATGTCGTCTTCCCCTCCTCACCTCTCGGTTTAAGCCGAACTGGAAGTCTACGCGCGGCTGCTGAAGTGAATGAGGACGAACCAAGCAGGAGGAGAAACAGCAGCTAGCAGAGGGGACATGGGTGGCGGAGGGCCGCCGGGTAAGCTATGGCTTTACGTTTCCGTTCCCAATTCCCCAATGCTTGTTTTACTTTTACGAGAATCAGGCTTCTCCCCCTTGGAACTTATTGACGACCGTCCCCGAATGCCACCAGGTAGAGCCGGATCGAGTTGAGACCTGTCACGTTATCGCTTCTCCGAGTACCGCCTTTCCTTGAATTCCGACAATGGAGATGGATTCAATGGACTTTCCTCCGCCCTCCCTCTCCTCCCCCTCCCGCATCGTTCGGATCCTGTTTCGTCTTCCTTCCTCCTCTTTTCCCTTTTCGCCATAATGCTTCCTGGAGTTACCCTTCCGCCAGATCTCTCTCTCTCTCTCTGCATTGCACGAGGTGAGGCGAGTGAAATCCGAGCGGAATGGAGGAAATCGAAGATCACTATTATTTTCCCCATCAATTTGATATGATGATTATCCTGGTTCGTGTGAAGAGTCGATCTGTTGACTTCTGCAATCCCCTATTCATGCTGACCTGGCCAGTCGTCTCCACCCCCGTAATTTGCAGAGTCCAGCTCTCGATGCACCTTACGAGAAGCTTCAAAGCTGACTTCTTTCGGGAAACCTTTGCGACCCGGGAAAAGGCCGCGGAATAAATGGCTTCCCTTCCTGTGGAATTCGTCGACGAGAGGACCGGTAGAAAGGTTGAGGCGTCTCTGAATAAAAGATTTTGAGCAGAACTTAATTGACTCCGGGGTGTCTTTGACCCGTCACATCGAAGGGCCAGCTTGGAAACTGGAATACCTCCGATTTTGAGATCCACCGGAGACAGAAACACCACTGCTTGAGCTTTGTTCTCTGGTTTTCAATTGTTCGATCGTTCTCGCTGATATTAAACCGGGTTTCTCTGTAGCATGTGGGTGCTTCTTTGTAGCTTGCTCCCGCGGCTTGGCCAGGCACTGCTTTTGAAATTCCTGCCGGGTGTATGCGCATCATCGCCCACTTCCTAAACCCCTTAAAGACACCATATTTTTTATGACCCTCTAATGTTCTTTTGTCTGATCGTCTCGGTGCAGATGGAAGCGCGACATGCACAGAGGAGAACGCGGATGAGGAGACCGCTGCTTGTCTGTCGCCAGCTTCAACGAAGACCAGCGCTTTTGATGTTTCTCAGCCATCAATCCCCAGACGGACGAGTGACGGGGTGCGGTGCAGATTAAAGCGCAGTATCTTCATCGTCTTGTTTAAAGCGAAGATTAACCTCTTGTTGCCTTGCGGGCCCGCAGCGATCCTCCTCCACCATCTGACGCAGAAGCATGTGAGAATTTAATCCCCCACTATTCGTGCTTATTTCCCCGCCGGTTACCATCATGTTGAACTACAATGCTTCCTTCTTTTCACATCATGGAAGTGAAAACGCCCATTCTGCGGCATCTTTTCACGGGTTCCCTGCTCGCCCGGGAGCTCATAAAACATCACATGTCTTCAGGAAACCTCCACGGAAATCTCATTGTCAATCATAGTTACGTATTGTCCACAGTTTGCCTGCTCGTTCTGGCTTTGAAGAACTTAATCAGCTTTTTGATGCTACCGATACCTGGTCCCACGATATAATTGACCAAGTTGCTTGGCTGGATCGGGAATGATCTTTAATATGTACCCATTCAGTTCAGAGCCAAGTCTGTCTGAGGGATGAATCGTGACTAAGCAGGTCCAATCAAGCTCGGCTTTCCCTCTTCTTGAATCGTTCTTCTGTGCCGAGTTGTCCAGCCTCGCGTATAGTTTATCCATGCAGAGATGTGTTTGTAGCAGATGCTCTGCTACAAACACATCTCTGCATGTAATGAAACTCGTAGAGCTCGTCTGCAATCAAATAATTTTGCATCTGATGTCAGGGATAGAATATCTGCAAGCCCGGCTAGTTTTAATCCCTTGCTCTTTGAACTGCAGGGGTGGGTGTTCATTTTGAGCTTGATAGGCATAACTCCACTAGCTGAGCGGTTAGGTTATGCGACGGAGTAAGCGTTCCAAGCATAACTCCCTTTTGTGTCTCTCCTCCTTTCCTGTCTACGCCCCCCAAGCTGCGTTCTCTAACTGATTCCTATGGATATCTGACGTGTTTTTTTCTTGCGGGGGCTGCAGACAGCTGGCATACTATACTGGGCCTACAGGTGCGTCTTTCTCTTCCATCATCTCATTCATGAAATGAGTGGCCACAGAGCCTCAGATGATTCCTGCCAATGCATGCTTTGTCCTATGAAAACCGGAGCGGTTCTTTGACGTTGTTGTTAACTTGGGGTTGTTTCAATTTCAGTCGGGGGGCTTCTGAATGCTACATTTGGAAATGCGACCGAAATGATAATCTCAATCTACGCTCTGAAAAATGGGATGATTCGTGTTGTCCAGCAATCGTTGCTGGGTTCTATCTTGTCCAACATGCTCCTAGTTCTCGGGTGTGCTTTTTTAGCTGGCGGGATCGTCCATCATAGAAAAGATCAAGTCTTTAACAAGGTAGAACGCCCGCTACATAAAGATGGCTTGTTTCTCTGCGTATGTGCATTCAATCTTGCATAAGAGGAAATCCATTAGTGAACTGTGGGAAAGACAAAGTTTTTGTTCTTACCTTCGTGAATGGAAAGCTTAGTAAAAGAGTTACCATTTTTGACAGGCAGCTGCTGTGGTGAACTCAGGATTGCTGTTGATGGCTGTCATGGGTCTGATGTTCCCGGCTGTTCTTCACTTTACCGGTTCAGAGGTGGAATATGGAAAATCAGAGATTGCCCTTTCAAGGTTTAGCAGCTGCATTATGCTGGTCGCTTATGCAAGCTACCTTTTCTTTCAACTGAAGAGTCATCGCAGTGCCTACAACCCTATCGAGGAGGTGAGAGATCCAATCATAAAGCCGCTCTATCAAATGCTTAAAAGAGTTGGGTGAATCATCAAATTTTCTGGTGTTCATTTTTGTATTTTTTGCTTATAGCTGTGGAACACCAATATTCCAGAAAACTGCTCCCGGAACATCTACATCTCTGCAGTCAGACTGGTTTAACGTCCAGTTTGACTGATGTTGGAGGTTCCATCCGTTTTATCCATCGAGTGGGAGGAATTGGATGTTTTTAAACTAGAGACTTGTACTCACTCTGGTCATCTTATTGCCTAATAGTCAAGAAACTATTTATGGACTTATAAAACTTGGCTGGTTCATAAAATCTGGCAGTGAGTTCCTCTAACATGAGGCTCCGCTATCAGACAATGAAAAACTATGTTCCCTCAGTTAGATCCATGATGGAATGTGATGGGGAACACCACACAGCAGCAATGTGTGAGTCTAGTCTGACCTTGGAATTGGCACTTGGGAATATTTTCTTTCTTTTGTGAATTTTGAGCTCCAAGCCGGTAGATTTGTGAAAGGAATTCTATTATGGTATTCGTTGGCCTTTTACTCTAGCCTTACCCTTTGTTTGGATCTTCCTACCAGCATTTGTCTGGAATTTGCACTGTTTTTCTCAAAATAGAGCATTTTTGCTTCATCTCTCGCTTGCGTCAAGTTTTATTCGACTTCAAGGAAAGGAATGATATCGTCTGGCTCTTATCTGATGAAGTATCTGTCGCTGGTGAATAGGTACAGGAAGAGGGAACCACCAATGACGACCCCTGTGAAGATGAGGAGCCAGAGATATCACTATGGGAAGCAATAGTATGGCTTGCTATTTTGACTGTGTGGATTTCAGTACTATCCGGATACCTCGTGGATGCCATACAGGTATTTTTTGTGAGAATCTCAATTCATTTGGTTTATATGAAACGCATAAGCCAGGCTTCTGTTGGCTATGAATATTCTCTTTATGTGGCTTAAATTGGGAAGGGGATGGTTCTGTATAGGGTCCAGAGTTGGATAGCAAAAGGCGACGCCCTTTAGAGGAGGCACACAGTTTGAGCTCCACATCTTTGCTTGGCATCCTAAGTGGATTTATGCTCCGGGAAACGGGGCTAAAGAAATGCAAGAATTCTGATCATTTGATGAAGGTTGACCAATACTAAATAAAGTGGAAACGTGTTTCATTAATTAGAAGGATAAAAGGGCATCAGATAAAGACACCGATAAAATGCTAAATTTTGTATCTTGAGATTCTTCCCAAATGCTAAATTTAGTTAATGATGGTTTTTCTCTTTTTCTGCCAACTTTAGTAAAGCTGAAATCACCAAGCTGTAGGTGGATGTGATCGGACTCCCTCACAGAAACTTTCGTGTTCGACCTATTCATTTCAGACTTTAACAAGTACTCTTCTTCGACTCAGTGATAGGTGGCACGGTTGGCTTTGTCCCTTTATGTTGTGGGTACACTTTGCTTCCGACATGAATGTGCTCGTGGGCTTGTCAGTGAATCACATGGAAGTAGAATTCACCAAAGTCTTGTCAACTGGAGTTTCTTCTGAATGACATAATCTTCCGACTCTTGCTGGTAAACTTGGGTTTAAAATTTTATGAGATCGAATCTGCATGGGAAATGGATGAGTTGCCCTCCTAAAGACAGATCGGGCCCGAGAAAAGTAGTATCACATGTGAATCATGCTGAATCCAGACTAAATCGTCTACCTCACGGGAGACCCTCAACCAAATCGGATCAAGTCTAACTGGGGTTGTGCTTGAAAAGTATCGGGGTGTTGTTAGGCTATGGACTAACCGAATTGCTCTCGTTTTAACTCTAACTAACTTAAGAGTTACACAGAAGGCAGTCTTGGCATATTTTAGTCATCGGCTGACGGTTAATAATCGTTCGTGGCCTTACATTATTGAATTTAGTGCACTATTTTTAATTAAAAGTATCGTGTTCCTCTCAGGGCGCATCCGAATCTTTGAATATGCCAGTGGCTTTTATTAGTGTCATTTTACTTCCTATTGTTGGAAATGCTGCTGAACATGCGAGTGCGGTCATGTTTGCCGTGAAAAACAAGCTTGTAAGTCGATGTAGTGCGTTTGTATTGTGAATTTCTACTCTCTGAAGGTTTTTGTCTTCTGATCATTGTTTGACCTGCTTTCTGCTCAGGACATCACCTTGGGGGTTGCAATTGGATCGTCTACTCAAATATCAATGTTTGTGGTAGGTGTCCCCCCCACTTGCTCTTAAACTGTCTAATTCATTCTTTTAATCGCTGATAATCGGTTATTTGATTTTTCGTTTCTATGTGCTGCGTTAAAATGAATGGATCAATGATGATCTACTTATTTTGCTTGGTGCTTGTATCCACGTATATTGTTTAAGTGGGTCGGAGGCTATGAAGCTGCTGTATTGTTTTGTCTTGATTAGCAAAGGTGTCTAGGAATGAATCACAGATGATTTATAATATCGATTCCTTTCCTAATGTACTAGCAGGAACGAGTATTCACGTAGAACTGAAGAACGAAGTCGTGGTTGTATCATTTAAAGAGACATTTTTTGGGTTTTTTTTTGTCTTTGCTGCAGATCCCTTTTTGTGTGGTTATTGGTTGGATCATGGGGAAGGAAATGGACTTGAATTTTCAGCTATTTGAGACAGCTACGCTGTTTTTAACGGTGTTGGTTGTGGCGTTCCTACTCCAGGTTTGTTTCTGATACTTTCTGCGTCAAGGCACGCCGAGGAGTGTTTCTGGGTTATTAATCTCTTTAGTATTCATTACATGGATTTTTAGCGTTGGAAAAAAATCGTATATTTCGTTCTCTTCGATGGCTACTTTACTTTAATTTCATTTTCCTCTCAATCCCCGCGGTATTCGTTTCCCCTCCACGAATAATGCATTCTGATTACTGGCCTCGAAGCCACGCTCCCCACGGCTTGGGCTTTCACCCCTGAGATATCCTTTGGCTTTGGTGTTTTATGCAGGAGGGCACGGCGAACTATTTCAAAGGATTGATGCTCATCCTGTCCTATCTGATAGTTGCGGCGAGCTTCTTCGTGCACAAGGATCCCAGCAGTAAGCAGCGAATCCCTTGACCTCGTCCAGATTTTGTACCGATTACCCGGCCTCCGCCCTTTCCTCGCGCCGTATTTTCTCCGTTCCGGTCGCCGGCATTCGTCGCGACGCTTTGGCCGGGGTGCCGCTTTAACGAGGATCAATCACGTCCTGTGCCGGGGCAAGTTAACTGCTTGTCCTGTACGCACGCTGTGGCGATGATGCACTGTATCCACGTCCAGATAGTGACCCCGGGGGAGGGAGAGAAGATCATGGAGAAGAAGAGCGGTCTCTTTGCATGGTGGTATGACCTGGGTGGAACACCTGGCTGACTGAGTACATGTCTGTCTGTCTGGTTTGCTTGCAGAAGACGACGACTGAAGTGTTTCAAGCATCAGGTAGTCGCCGCTCCTGGGATCGGCTCTGCGCAACTACACGCCCCCTGCCATTGTGTTCCATCTGTGAGAAGGACGAGGTAAAACCGAAGAAAGCGGCGGGCTTCAGGGGCTGGGACCATTTATTTCTTCTTCCATCGGGAGCGCCCCAGAGGGGCGGAGCGAGCGTGCCGACATTCTGGCGCGGTGTTCATTCAGCTCTTCTTAGGTATAGTACTGTACGTTCGTAACGATCATTTATATGTTGTTCGCAAGCTTCGCGAAAAATAGGGGTCGACCGTTCGGCCCCGATACGTGTAAAAAAGGATCAGGAATAAAAAATAATGTTCAGTTATTCGACCTTCCATTCCATTCCATTCCAGTGTTGCCTGCCTGCCTGCCTGCCTGCCTGCTGCGGGCCACCCGTGGCCTAGAGAGCGCCGGCCATCAGCGACGAGCGAGAAACCACGAGGATCACACGCACAGCTGGATCTTTTCACCGGCAGATAGCTGATAGATGGCCACCGAGGGGAACCAATCGGAGCCACGGATAGAGAACCAGAACAAAGGCACACCCATGAGAAAAAAACATCTTCCGAGTTTGTCACAGTCAGTTGGTTCGTTCTTTTAGTGAGAAGAAGAGAGAGAGGGAGAGAGGGAGAGAGAGAGAGAATCTCAAGTGGTGAGCTTGCCGGCAGCTTTGTGAACCATGGTCTCCTTGTGGATTTGGTGGCAGCTCTTCTCCACAAGATCGAGCAGCTTCTCCAAGTTCATCGCCCATGAGTTGAGAACGTCGTTGCTGTTCTTCGTCGCCTGAAAGCATACGACCCCCAGCGTCCGGTCGATCTTGCAGACCAAGGCCTTGGACACCACCATCTCCGACATATGGTTCTCCGTTTCCTGTTGAAGCAGAGCACAACTTGGAGTTGACATGTCCAGAGGCGCGCCAAAAAAACAAAAAAAAAAACTGGGGGAAAGAAGAAACGAAAAGACTACTTCGCCGCTTGGGGGAAAAAAAACGAAGAGAAGTTTTTCGTTTTCTTCTTCTTTTCAGCATAACAGGTAAAAAAGAGAGAGAGAGCGAGAGAGAGAGAGTGAGAGAGAGAGAGAGAGAAACCAAGAGGAACAGGAGGGTCTCTGACAAAGAAGAAAACCTGTAAACTGAGGCACAAGAGATCCGCGAGCCTCTTCAAGGTGATGTTGGAATAGTATTTTGCCACAACCAAGATATTCTGGGAAAAAAAAAACAACAAGATGGTAAATAAATGACAAAGATAAACGGGATAACAAGTAAAATCAACCTGAGAAAATCTCACATGTTCAATTATTCTCTCTTTAAGATCTTCTGCCGCTTTCTCACCAAGAGAGCCTCCAAGAATGTTCTTCTCATTCTCAAACTCGTCCTTATACGTCTCCCAAAGTCTCGTCCACTGTACTACCTCCATTGTAACGAGTTGCTTTAAGAGCAACCTAAAAAAAGGAAAAAAAAAAAAAGCGCATCCAACAGCAGACACAATATGGGAAGTTAGAAAAATTCCAATTTTGAGAACCTTAAAGAGTTAAGAAATGTACCTAAAATTTGGGATTTCAGATAAGTTCTTATCTTCCAAGGTGGAGTTAAGAAGGCTGGACTGCATTGGACCATGGGGTGACAGTGCTAGATACCAGCAAATTTTCCTCAAAACCTAAAATTTCCAATTCGGGTCACACGATATTCAGTAAGTTTCAAAGAAGTACGGTATACAGCATGATGAGTTACCGGAATCCAGAGTGCTGGGTTCTCTTTCACAGAAGGGATGTCATAGATGGCTTTGTAACAGCGGCAGATCTCGAGGTAATCATTGCTATGCGAGTAATATCTACATCATGAAAACAAAAATCTAATCAGATATTATACATCAATGTTTCCAGATATTATACAAGAAAGAATTCAACCATCTTGCCCTTATATTATTTGACAAAACTAAAAGATAATGCGTGGAGGATGAAAAAATAATTAATGCGTTTCTCATCTCTACCGCGTCCAATTTTTGGGTAGCAAATCGCTAAACCTTTTCAATCAACAATTTTCAACTGAAAAAAAAAACACTTTTCTCAATTTAAAATAAAGAAAAAGGAAGGTCTAGCTGTTGTTCAAAAAAACTCGGATTATTACAAAAAGAAGAAAAGTACGAAAAAAACATAAAATTCAGGAATTCTCAGCCCAAGAGAAAAACAGAAAATTCCAATAAAACTCGGAATCCAAGAGTAGAAGCAGACTTAATCAAAAGAGCAGTTAAAACATAAATGTTCTTTGAAATTCTGAGAATCTTGGTAGTGGCATCACAATCGATTCCAACAAGTCATATCCCCGTGATTAAGATATTACGTTCGCACATATCTTTCACCAAAATGATGGAAAACTTTATGCTGATTCATGCGGGGAATAATGGAGACAAGTAAATCAAATTTCTTCTTGACGTGATATACCCATGCTATTTATAGCAAGATTCCAAATTTCTCCTAGCTTCAAGAATCTGCATAATGGGAAGTGTTCCTAGATTACATTTAATTCCACCTTCTTACAAGCACTGCGTCATCTCCTTTTGTGGCATATCCCACCACATCTTAAACATTTAACAGCATCATCATATTTCCTAGACCAAAGCTATCAAGATCACTGATTTCCTTTTGAACAAGGGGAATCTTTTGTGAGGGATTAGCTCCCACGTAGCAGATGGCTATTCCTCCACAGGCGCAGTTCCGTTATATAAGGGTATGAAATCTCAATGTTTCAATATTCTCTTCACCCGGCTGGCTTCTCCCTCGCACCAGGGCCAACAGGACAGCAGCTATAGTGACCGATGCCAACTGATGAGAGTATAATGCTCCATTTCTCTAAGTAACAGCGTCACCACCTTAAAAAAGGATAAGTCGAATAAATATTATCCACCTACATTACCATTTCATTATCCGTGTTTCTGGTAGAAGCGTTGGCAATGTTGGCAAAGAAAGTTGTCCAGTATAATGTTTAACACGATAGAGTTTAAAAATCAAACAATCTCATGTATGGTTCATAATAACGCTTCCAGATACAATCCAGATGTACAGCCATCCAATTCATTCTTTGCAAAACAAATGTTCACAATCGATACATGTACAAAAAAATGTACATGTTTGTAGATGTGGATACTGGAGAAAATGAAACCATCCACAAACACCGGATGGATTTGACAAATCTTCATTTCATAAGCTCAACGGACACATTAAAACAGTAATGGAAAATGGCTTACCTAATCATCAGTTCATAGTAAATGCGCTTCAATTCTAGAAGTGTAGGTACATCAGGGGGGGCCTCCTCCACAATATTATCTCCTTCCTTGGGCTTTTTCGCTTTTGAAACATCTGCATCAAAGACTCGAGGGCTGATCTTCCTGGAAAGAATTTGCGCTCTAACGTAGTCCTGACGATCTAAACATAAACGAACCTGGAAAAATTCATTCGTGAATGCTGCATTTAGGGTACACATTATATCATCAGACAACTACGAAAAAAATCGTGCGAAATAAATATACAACCCTACTTGTTCAAGGATGAACGCTATCTTCTCCGTTTTTGCCATGGCTCCAAATGTTTCCACCTGTGGTAGTCAAAAATACAAAAAAACAAAGTATCATTAAAGCACTCGTAGTCTATAAATCATTATAGACATTTTTGAAGTTGAACGAAAAATCGCAACTATAAAATACTGTCAACCATGCCGGGAACATATTCTTACGGCAATTTCTTGCATTAGGTCGGCAGCTTCAGCAATAAGTCCCTGTTCTTCTTTGATCTTAGCAAGTCTTTTAATGAGGCGCGCTCTCTCTATCTCAACATAGATCTGCAGAAAAAGGAGAAGATTTGAAAAAAATGATGACTGATGCCCAACAAATGGCTATGCCACGGTGATAAGGATTTAATACCATCACCAGCGTACTAACCTTCCCCGCTGAGACACTGTTCAGCGTTTTAATCAACTCAATGCGTGTTTCAATATCAGGAGTCTCATCAATATATTGCATTGCTTGTTGTACCATTGCTGTCACAGCCTGTTTGCCAATAAAATACGGGGGAAAAAGTGCTAGTCAAACGCCGTGGGATTTGGGGAATGCTTTAGCAAAGTAACGATGATCAATAAATGTTCACAAAACAAAGATTCCTCCCAAACTTTTCCCCAACAACTTTTTCATTTGCTTACCAAGCACATTTATGAGGGGCTTTCCATCATGCTGAGATAAATACTCTACTGACCTTTGCTCGAGTCATATTTAATGAGGATATTGCTGACTCCCTAGATCCATACTAACCGTCCAGCTCACCATGTTTATATAAATTTCAATTCAAGTTGGCTCATCTGTATTAAACTGCTCTTCAGAGTCCACCAGTCAAGTTTCGGAAAAAGCATTAAAACGTATCGATAGCTGATTGAAAAAAAAAACCCTATAAAAAAATATAATAGCATGTAAAACTAAAAACATATCCAATGCTCATAAAAGATTTCATACCCATGTTGACCTACATAACAAAAAAAGGGTAACTGTTGGGAAACATATCAGTCTCATAGTGCAGTCTTCGTTAATTAAACGAAAAATGGCAGGTAACCAAGAGGATTTAATTTATGCAAAAAAAGCTACCTAACCTAACATGGAACGGGAGAACCAATGTATGCAGTACAAGTGCGAGTATATTCAGTACAAATTTTTTAATGTAATTTAGTGACGGATATGTGCTTCCATATAGTATGCATCTTTTCACGCTTTCATAAACAGAAGGATGTTCATCTGTAGTGTGCTCATGGCAGAACGAAAGTTTTTCGAAAAACCCATGCTCATGCATGTTTTTTTTCTTTCTAATGCATTCATGAAAAAAGAAAAACTGATCCTTGAGTTACCTGCTTAAGTTGCCCCCTTCTCTTGGAAAGCAAAATAATCTGGTCATTCAGAGTCTTCCAGGCTCGAGCTTCATAGCAAAGCTGAATTATTGAGGTAACTGCATTCCTTGTTGCAGTGACGTCACCAGCAAGCCTTGCTTGCTTTTCCACATTTAACAGATACTCTATAGAAGAATCGAGATTGCCTTCCTGTGGATACGCAATAGCAGAGGCACATAGGTGGGAGGAAATCCAGTAAGAGTGATTTTAAAACTAAGAATGCATACAGTATGAAACAGATCTTCACATCCAAAATTGGATAGGAAGCCATCTGCAAAATGTACTCAGGTACAGGAAATTAACATAAAGAGTCTAACTAAATCCCATGAACCCAGGAAAAGGAACGGGTTGAAGTCGCCAAATCTACATAACAAAGATTCAACAGAAAATTCTCGATATATTATAAGCACCTGCTGTAGTTTTCTATTAGACATAATTTTTCAGTGTTTGGATTCAACCAGACTCACCCCCTTACGTTACACTCTATTCGCCTTTGGCTAATCTGAGGCTTCATATTCATCCACCACCCCTCGTACCCTCATAAAGTTTGGATGAACTCACAGGTTTACGTCCAAAGAATATGTTCCAAACACATAAACATATTCAGGGGTACTTCACGAAACCCTAAACCTTGAAACTCAATTGATGTGCAGTTGTTTTGCCTTTGGGCATGAAAATTAGCCTCACGATTTGAATTCCCACTCGTTATCCGTATTTGCAACGCCAATGTCCGCGGAAAAAACACCTCCCGAGAACGGATGGCACGTGTATGAGAATCGGTCACCGAAACTCACCATGGGTAAGTTCCAGATCCAGAAACCAAAAGAGACTACGGCATATTTTCCTTGTACGGAGGAACGCCAGAGCCCCTCAAGATGCAGAGCCAAAACTGCGGCAGCCAACCCAGTTTCTAGCAAATAAAGACCAAATCAAGGGGCAGTGGCGTGATGCTGGGGGCTACGAACAATAACTGGTACATAGGGGAACGAAGAGGAAGAAGGGAGCGGATCCGGAATCTCGAAGGGCAGCGAGCTGCCACAATCTATAGACGACGAGTGGTCGAAAATATAAAACCAATGGCGAAGAAGCGGAATCGAAACAGCAGCATCGACGACGAAATAGAACAAAGGAAAGCCGGGGGAGACAGGGGGGACGAACCATAGCTCGCGGTGTTCTCTGCGGCAGCGGCGAAGTAATGGGTTCCTCGACCGGAGACGGACCCTTTTCTCCTTTCCTTGGGCAGAAAGAAGGATGACTGTCTCACAGTCGCTGTAACCCCACCCCTCTTACCAGACGCGATCGAAGAAGGTAGGCGAACTAGTAGAGGATTGTAAGTATTGGAAGTTTATATCCAGATTTTTACGTTTTACGTTTTCCCTTGTCAAATATTTATTTATGTTTTAACCGTGATTTATTCGGTGAGGAGTGAGGTGATAGACTAGAAACACAATTTATACTAAAGGTAGGTAGGATGGTATTTTTGCAGAAATAAACCCATCAGTACGCCGACCGTACTTAAGGATAGAAGCGGCGGGCAGCGGACTGCGGGATGGTTAGGAGCTGAAGGTGAGGACAACGGAGCCTCTCACTCCGATCGGCTTCTTCTCCGCGACATTGCTTTCCCCTCCGGCGAACGGAATCGGGAGCCTGGATTCCGACCTACTCTGAAAGCTCTACTCTGCTTTCTCTCTCTGTCTCTCTGTCTCTCTGTCTGTCTGTCTGTCTGTCTGTCTCTCTCTCTCTCTCTCTCTCTCTCTCTCGTGCTTCTATTTCCGCTATGGAAGTCGCGCGCTCAGACCTCACGATCAGCTGCACAGATCCTCGACCCTGATCCTTGCCGAGTACCGCCTCCAGGTGAAGTGTGCGTTTCCCTCCTAGCCTCCCTCGTTCTTCAGTGGTTGAATTCCCTTCTCGTCAAAAGGCTGTCCGGACGGAGTGAATTTCAGTCGTCCTCCTGTGTGTCGCGGTTGACTTGAACACAGATGGCGTGGGTCAAATTTTCCACCGTAGACAGGATAACTCGGAGGACGTTTTGGGCGTTCTTCACAAGTCCGCATTCGGATTTGGGGGGGTTGAACTTCAAAGGACTACTCGACTCGTCATCCGTCACCACCATTTCTGCGTTTCTTTCAAAGTCTTGCAGCTCAAGGCTCTCTCAGTGTGAAAGCCCTATGAAGTTTACGGCGTGAAATTTTATTGAATTTCAATTTTCCATTGACAACGTAATCTTTGATGTAGCACTCCTCCTTTATTCCAATGCACTGTTTTATTGATTCTGTAAGTAGTTGTGATATCTTTGTGAGATTGCCTTGTTCGTTTCACATAAACTGGTGTCCACCAACTCCACAGCTTGCTTGCAGTCATCTCTATTTTTTGCCCGAAAGCTTCATTCGTCTGCTCAATGCTATGAATCCTTCACAGGGAACAGATGGGATCTGCAGATGTCACCGAGTCTCAGTTCACCTCAGACTATGCTCACGGACCTCCATGGGTGTTCAAAGGCAGGCAAGACACACGCTGCTTCAAGTTTTTACTGATGTTTCTAAAGCCCGTTTTGACCCATGGATTGACGATTGCAGTGTCAATTTTCTATATTTTCTCAGAGCGCTCTATCAGCTTCATCTCGTGAAGAAAGAAATCGCCTGTAAGTTAATCCCTAAAGAGCTGAAACTGGTGGAAGCATTTGGGTAAGGGCCTTCACAATGCAATGCTTTCTCCTTGGGTCTTCGAAAGTCACATCGCTTTGGAGATTCTTTTTCCTCATCGGTCGGAAGTTTACCTTCTTGCTTGCTTTTGAACACAAGCATCCATATTGCAGATACACGCTCGGTGGTCTGTTTCTTGCTCACTATGATGCCAGCCCAGCTGGGGTATTTGACGAGGTTGGCCATGTTTGACTGGTTTTATCGTTATTTTTGCCCAAATAGTCAGCTAAATGGATAAGTTGTCTGGTGAGAGTAGTACTCATGGGATATACCATCTGTATTTCTTAGACATAGGGAATTTGTGCAGTATGCAGCGCATGACTCGATTGCCCTCCTGGTTTGATTCTCTTGTTATTCGGTAAGTTATGAGAGATTATAACTGACTCAAGATTGCGCTGTTCTGTCTCTGTTCCCAGCTCGTGGTCATTTCAGGCATCGTGTGGAATCCTCCAACCTCATGCGCGTACGTTTCTTTATTATGCCTATTATTTTCCAAATGTCCGCGGTCATGATATATACAGGCATTTTTCATCTTTGGAGTTGAGCTGATTTTTGATAAATGGTATTGGAATTTCTTTCTGATAGATGGGCGACCAGGGTTCTAGTCAGTAGTCATGAAGCATGCCGGCATGGAAGAAAGGTGGGACACAGGAGGATTTCTCATCAGATGTTGCCATCTGTTTGACCCTTGTGTATGTGATTTTCGCTTTCTTACAGGAAATAGGACTTCCAAGCCATTTTGCTGAATTTTCAAAGGTAAAATTCGATAGAAATATATGCTTCTCATACACTTCGCAAGGGCTATTTGATGCACATTCGTTATGTGGACGAGTGATTGAGCCTAGAGCTTCGGATGCATTTTCTTTTGGATTGTCGCATGAGCCTTTCATTAGAAAAATGTATCGATTAGTTTGAAATTTTAGACAAGTCACCATTTCTGAAAATCAGATTCACATGATAACTTATTATGAGATAGTATGCCTTGACTCGCAACTGGGTTCACATGAACGGAATCCTCTGTGCGCCAGGAATATGAATCCGCGCCATTTTAATGATGACAGTCATCATGGAAAAAACTATTGAGTAGAATTCCATGTATATGCTAAGAATATGCATCTGTCTTCGTTTTTGGACTATGAAAATTCTTCAGACAATCATCATGGTGGAGACTACGGTTATAATGCACAGTACTAAATGTATTGCGGCATGCAACTGAGAACCAATAGGCAATAAGTGAACTGAGAACAAATAGGCAATGAGTGAACTGAGCCCTTGTATGTAGTCACATTTTAATCTTTGTGGTAGCCAGTAATGAGGCCATCTTCATCACCTTACAGAAGCTGGAAGACAGCGCGTGCAGATTCACCCGTTGTATCGGCATTCTGATGTCAATATTTCCATCTATTTCTCGTTGAGAGAGAATGCCTAACAACATGGTGTCCTTCGTCAGTGCAGTCTACAGAGAGCTTACAGAGACCTAGAAAGAAAGGCAGAGGAGCCCTGGGTTTGGTTAAACCCGGCTCTGCCTTTTCTATCCCAGAAACTCGTCCAGGGACCCAGGTGAGCGAGTTCAGGGATGATGCTGCAACTCCCCTTTGTAACATTACCCTGCCTCTCGGTGGTGAGTGAGGTTTTCCTCTGTGGATCATTTTAGTTCAGTTTGAAATGCGGAGTTCATAGATGGGAAATCCCATTCTTTCTGATTTGCAATTGTTTTCATTTCTCGGGCGACGAGCTTGGTGGCGGCAGTGCTCGAAGCTAGAGAGGACAAAAGATGGATGGGGCCCGTGATCAAGTTCTCTCTTCCGAGTTTCAGGTCAGATTCTCGCCACCCACTTTGAGATATGAAATTGCCGGTTGCTCTGAGCGATCGATCTTTGACGGCTGATGTTCTGCTGCATGAAATGATTACAGCGGCAGAACCGTGCATAATCCTCTCCTCCTCAAGTACTCGTGCCATGTGAAGTGCAGGTCTGTTTCTCCTTCTCTCAATCTCAAGCATAGCGTACGAGGGGAGTGGGGGAAGGGGGGGCGGATCTATGTTATTGTTGTCTGGTCCGTGGTGGCCTCCTTGGCTGATTTGGTAGGGTGTCGCCTTCCTATGTGATCTTGGCGGAGGGCACGGGCACGAGTACCTGAGAAGCTTGAGATCAAAGCTTGTTAGCAGCGGCATATTTTTGGTGCAGGGTGCGACCGGTGGAGCCCGCCAGGCTGTACGCTCCGGGGAGCGGGAATCGGAACGACGGCGAAGAAGGGAAATCCGCTCAGCCCGCCGGCGACGAGGCTTCTCGAAGCCTCGGGGTCTCCGTGCTACTGTCCAAACCCATCCTGGCTCTCGAGTTCAGTTCGCTCGAGATGCGGGTCGGAGCGCCTTCGGTTGTTGGCGGACCTCCTGCGGGTTGAGGACGGCGAGGACCTTCGCTCGAACTGCCGGGGGCCGGCGGCGTCTGCGTCGTCGAGAACGAGACGCTTTTGACTCTCACACGCTCTTCTACTTCTGTGGGTTGGGCTTTGTGCCCCCTCTAAAACTGCCTGATTTCTGACGTGTCTCATCTCCGGTCTTGACTTCCGTCCATACGCTCTCTTTACTTTCATCTCATATATATATAGATATGTCTCTCTCTCTCTCTCTCTCTCTCTCTCTCTCTCTCTCTCTCTCTCTCTCTCTCTCTCCCCCTCTCCCTCTCCCTGGTGATCCACTTCGACGCGGGAGAGAAAAAGGCACGAACTACTCCAGAGAGACGAGGGAAACGACAGTGATCGGCGCAGCAAATTGCGGGGGCCTAAGAAGAGGAGAAAAGGCGAGGACTGATGGCGAGGCGGCCGCGGGTGGATGCCCTAATCACCCGATTGCCCGTTCCATCGTGCGACTCAGCCTCGCCTCGGGGAGTTTTGACGACGACAACTCCTTGACTGCACCCGGAAGACCTGGTTCCTTTCTCCTCCATCTCCCTCTGTTTCCGTCTCATATAACGAAGGGCTCGACCGGTCAACTGTGCCGTGTGTCACATGCCCCGATAGGTTGGAGTCGTTTCTTCTTTTCCTTCGGCGCCTGGTTAGAATTTTGGGTGTGCGTGCTCTTGCGAGATATGTGCTCTAGGGCTACTCGTCTCGACTCTGCCAGGCCTTCAGCATGTTTCCGGCGTAATGCATTCAAATTCTCCGAGTACTACAAGAAGTGAGGACGTCCCTTGAGTGGTGGATGGAAACGGCCAGGTGCGCGACGTTTTATCCGAGCAACTCGTAATCTTTTCCCATGCCTGACCTAGAGTTTCCATTTTCCGCCTGTCGTGATCTGGCTTGCCAGGCTTTTCATCTCTTTGCCAAATCGTGCATCGCCGAAAACATGTGATATAGTATGCGAGATTCCTCGGTAATTCTTCGCCTTTCTGTGTTCATTTATGTCTTGGAAAGTATTCATTTATGAAAGGGAATGTCTTCTTGGCCAATCTCCTTCCCAAAATAATGATTCCTTATTTTCAAAGCAGACATGGAGCAAACATAAATGTTGTTAGCAAACATAGAGCAGAATGAAATGACGCAGTCCTTAAGTTCCGTGAGGAATGTCATCCTGACGTGGATACAGAAATGTTGTAACCTCTTTCATTGTTTTCACTCGGGCATTACTGGGTGTTTCGGTTTAAGACAATGGCATCATCTTGGTTAAGGCACATGTTGATTGCTAGATTCCATCTGTCTGATATCGAGGGGTGAGGTTCAGTGTTTTGGAATGAAAACGCTATCTTTATGACATCAATTGATTAAAAAAGAAGAAGTTAGGGGACGATACGAAAATAACTCAGCAATTGCAAATATGTTGATATCTTATTGATCGCCACTTATGGGCGACTGAATTATTTTTCTTGAATGTGGAGGTTTGAGGTTATTTGAAGCAGTACAGGCGTATGATATTTCTAAAAGTATCTCGTGTGTTGCCCCAGTCGTTGAGCATATATTAAATATGGGCTCGTCTTGTTTCACCGTTTTATTCTTTTGTTTTTGGCATTCTTTTGGAGATTGAGAGTACAGGCCTCTAAGTTTCAGCCATATTTCTTGACAGGGTTTAACAGTTTAGGGAGAGTCTTCTCCAGAATCCATTTCCCTATTGAATTGCCTCTTTTTCAGCGGCTAGTTTTTTCCACATCATAGAGGAAGTGCTTCCGTCACTTAATTCTATGTTCAATTGTCAATACAATGAGTAGACAAACTACTCGTAGCAAAAAAAGGCATAAGGCTGACGATGGTGATAATACTCCTGGGATACTGAGGTTAGTCACTTTTTTTCTTTATTTTTTATATATTAACTAATAATTGCACGTGTTTATTCATAGTTTTTTGTCTTTTTAGGAGGATTCATCTATCTGGTGAGGTTACCCATAATGACATTTGCCAACTCTATTCAATCAACAAACCTCTTTGTCAGGGTTGCCGTGTAAATTCCAGGGACTCCCCAAACTGCTTCTGTGGCCTGGTTCCATCCTCTAGTGGAGCTAGAAAAAGCGGCTTGTGGCAGAAGCTTTCAGATCTTATTTCTTCTGTTCTTGGTCCAGACCCAAATGAGGATCACCGCTTACCCAGAGAAAGACCTGCTGGACTGACTAATGTTGGGGCAACTTGCTATGCGAATAGTATACTTCAGTGTTTGTATATGAATATATCTTTCAGAGCTGGTATCTTCTCTGTTGAGTCAGATCTCCTGAATCAGCATCCTGTTTTGGATCAACTAGCACGTCTCTTTGCCCTACTCCATTCCGGAGAAAAGGCTGTTATTGACTCACTCCCATTTGTTAAGACATTGGAGTTGGACAAGGGTGCTCAGCAAGATAGTCATGAGTTTCTCACTTTATTTCTTTCTTTACTGGAGCGGTCTCTAAGCCATTCAGAAGTTTCTAAAGCAAGAACTCTTGTTCAAGATCTATTTCGTGGCAGTGTGTCACATGTGACGCGGTAAGAGATTCTTTTAAGCTTCTCACTTTAACAAGAAATACAGCGTTTGGAATACATATGGGTTTTTTAGTTTTGATTGTTTCCGTTTTTTTTCATTGTTTCCATTTGCGTCTGTGGAATGTTTACTTTAATTAATGGAAAATCTCTTTTGTCTAACTAGTAACGAAATCTTGTATCCATCTATATCAATATGTCTAAAGAATCCCCGAAATGCCTCAAAGGGCACCAGATATCCCCTTCTTAGTCCAGTCACCTGGGCAACTCGTCTGTATTTGTGGTAGCTGCCTTTGTAAGGGAGATGATTGAGGTCCTCTCTTCTTCTGAACACTAATAATGCGTCATTATTATGTTTTACCCTGGGTAAAGTATCTGATTGGTAGCTTTTGAAGAATTCTCAAACCAGTCGCTTGATGAATAGTAAAATTGCTCAGTTACTTTTGTTCTCAATATCATCCTAGAGAGGTCCATGAAAGATGCTGAATTTAGGATAGGTTCTTATCAATTGCCAAATTTGTTCTGGAAGGGTACATGTACAGCCCCTCCATCAATAAAATATGAGGATCTCTGTTTCTATTAGTAAGGGAGCGTCCTATCATCAGATCTTTTAGTACAACAAGGTTACTGGTGGGTGAGAGTGTCAAATTTCCCAGCTCTTTCTTTCGCAGCGGAATTCATATTAAATTCGGTTTCTGTTGATTTCTACTGAATTTCAAAGTTACTTTTCAGATAATAATAAGGCTGCTTATGTTTGGGTTATCTATATGTTGGGGAATAATTGGTCTATAACACATTTTCTTTTTCAAGGTGCTCAGTATGTGGGAAAGATTCTGAAGCTTCTTCAAAGATGGATGACTTCTACGGACTGGAGTTGAACATTAAGGGATTGGACAATTTAAATGCTAGTTTGGATGATTACCTTAGTGTAGAACAACTCTCTGGGGAAAATCAATATTTCTGTCAGGCATGTGGAAAAAGAGTTGACGCAACCCGTTGTATTAAATTGCATGCACTCCCCCCTATTCTTATTTTTCAGCTCAAACGCTATGACTTTCTTATGGAGGTGAGTCACTCAGTAATATGATAGCTGTTTCCTGTCTTAAACCCATCATGACTATCTCTGCTTTAGTCAATCACGATATTCATCCACCCATTCGTTTTTGCGCTTATCTTCCTTTGAACATACTTCTTTCTCCTCAGATGACAAAAAAGAAGAAGATTACCTCATCCTTCAGTTTTCCCAGCCAACTAAATATGGGAAGAAGATTGGATGATGTCCCTGAGCCGGAGCTGTTGTATGACCTTTCAGCTGTACTGATTCACAAGGGTGCTGCTGCCACTAGTGGGCATTATGTGGCACGTATTAAGGATGAAAACAGTGGGCAGTGGTGGGAATTTGATGATGAGACTGTCCTCAAGTTGGGTCATCAACCTTTTGGGGAGGCATCATCAAACTCGTCTGGCAATGCTCAGCCAGCTGCGCAGTCTGAGGAGCTGCACCCTGCTTCAAATGGAAACCATAGTTCTGGTTTCAGTAAGTCACAACATCAAGAGATATTTTCTCCGACTGATGCCTATATGCTGATCTATAACTGCATGGGTGCCCAGAAATATGTAAAGAGATCTGATAAAACTTTTGGGCCAGATGCCAAAGATGTAGATATGGTGGTTTCTACTAATCTTATTGATCTTCCAAGTCATCTTTCTGAAGAGGTTGAACATTTTAATCTACCTTTTGTCGAGGATTGTAATGAATACAAGTCAAAGAAGGGTATGCTGGTTGCTCACATAACTGAGCGACGACAAGAAGTTAAGGCAATTCTTTCTGAAGCCTCTGTTCATTCAGTCGAAGACCCATTTTTCTGGGTTTCAGTTGATTGGCTTCGCCAGTGGGCTGATAATGTTGACCTTCCATGGACTGGCAACACCAATCTTCTGTGAGTATCAGTTATCCTACATAACTCTATACATCCATAATTTGAGCACTTTGATATTTCTGTGCACATCCAAATCTACATGTCCTCGTCTTTCTTGAGATCAGTAGTTCTTTTAGAGATTTCTGCATGGTTAGTACTCTTAAATTCCTTTTAACTTTGTCATGTTGGACAGACGTCTTGACAACAGCAGAATTCAGTGTTCACATGGAAAAGTTGCTGTTGATAAAGTTAGCTGCATGAAGCGGATGTCGACTGCTGCATGGTCTAAACTGCTTTCCACGGTGAGAAATATGCCAGAGTTGTTTGGTGTACACTTGCATCATTTTTCTCTGTTTCATTTCCTAAGTTTACTTTGTTTTATTTCTCAGCTCTTTCAGAAGCCATCGATGTCATACATCATATATGACGAGAAGAACATGAATCTCTGTAGAATCCAGATAGTGAATTTAATAAAAACTATAAACGGTTCCTGCTTCCTCGCATAGCTTTACAGATCATATTCCTGTGTGGGGGAGAGACCACCAGTGTCAATGCTGCTGTGAATTTCGTTTTATGTTTCAGCATAGCCTCTTGATCTTTTTTCTTTATTCATCCTTGATCTTTCCTTCCATAATCAATTTGAATATTTTAGAGTTTGTCCCTGTCGCATCCCAAATAGTTGTATGTAATGGTGTCCATTTCTCCCACCCATCTATCTTCACGTGTCATCCCCTATCTTGTTTTGACTCAAAAACTCCATAGATTTCAGGATAATTCTACCAGTGTGGACATCCATTCATTCCTCCAACTCAGCATAGCAGCAGAAAGAATTATCACACAATTTCTACCTCATTCTCCAATTAAATGGCAGTGTGGATCTTATGTAAAACAGGTGGATTTACTTAAACTGTGAGAGAATCGGGGATACAGATGCCTCTGTCTACAATCATAAAGCTAGCTAATTTGAAAATTGAAACGCTGTAACCATCTGTTATGAATTTTCTCCGACTTTTTGTCAATCGCTATTTGCCCGTACACCCTTTTGAAAGTAAGGATTTGTGACGCAATAAGGTTTCAAAATGGTTTTCTCGTCTTCACTTTATTCCTTTGATACGTTTTGGACCCCGAATTTCATGTATATTTGTGCCTTATCTTTGGATTTTGTCTCCTGTCTCCTGTCTTATTTCATTCAATGATTTGAATGTTTCTCATTTTCAGTATGGAGGTGGCCCAGCTTTGAGCAGTGATGACTACTGCATTGAGTGCCTTAAGGAAGAAGCCCTGAATTTTGTTTCTGCCGATGATTATCGAGATCGAAGGGCTGCCATGAAGCAATTCGCAGAGGTGGCGCTTGCTGGAAAGAGTACTGATGGAAAATCGTATTATGTATCAAGAACATGGTATTATTCATTTTTCCTCCTCGACTTTATGCCAACTTTTGCATTTTTTGCTATCTGAGCATTTTTAGTATTTTATTTGGTTAGACACTATCCTTTCCTGCCAATCCATTATAAGTTTGGATCACATTGTCTTATTCTTATGCTTTGACATGTAACGGCATGGCGGTAATCGAAATATTTATTTGATCCATGAAGGATATGAACCGATAATTGAAATAATTGATGTCAGATGTAAAACCAGGTTTAAATTTGATTGAATTTTCCGACTTTGGCCTAGGCTGATGTGTGAATTGCTTGTTGACTATCATCTCAACGCTTGAACATATTGTACCTTGGCCATAAATTTCCATGTAGAATTCATTTTATTATTCTTCATTAATTAGTTTTCACAGCTGGCATCTAGCTATAGTTTGATCATGCAAAAAATTGATTGATGACCTCACTGCATTTTTGGGAAGTACTAGCTGCTTTCACTTGTCGGAACATCTAACACTTGAATCGTTCTCTACATCCAAATATTAGAGATTGGAGGCTTAGAGTATTCGGGATCACCAATAAATATGGGAATCCTGTTGATGGAACTGTGGTGGAGACAAATTCCGAGATGGAAGACGTATTACCTTCCTCATAACAATAGGAAAATCAGTAACGGAAAAGATGACTGGACTGGTTCTACGTTTTTCTCTATATTTTTGGGCATGCCTTGGCAAAAGCTTCAGTGCATCCTCTATTTAAAATTTTTAAATGACTCATATTGCTATGAATTCGTAATCATCAGCATAGTAAAATAAGTGGCAGTAAGTCGATGATATTTAAGTTATGGTTTCCTCTTTAACCATATTTCCTGATGTCTCGGTGCCACATTAAAAAAGTTGATGATCAACATCTTAAGTTCGACGGTAGTTTGTCTATAGTTGGGAAGATATTTAGCTTTCATGCATAATCTGTAAAGTATATTATTACATTAATTAGTTCTCAATTAGTCACGTTCCTTAATTGCATTCATCAGCAAAATTACGTTCTTCAAAACCGATTGTGTAATTATCATTCCAAGAGCCAAAACTAATGAATCGATACACTGGATAATATGATTCTGGCTGCTTACCTGCCAAAATATGCTGTATGATCTGACTATTCGTCTCCATGTTTCTCTATTTTTTTTTTCTTTTCTACATGGAAATATGTAACGACCCTGAACACACAGTGGAAGCGAGAACCGAAGAGAGAATTAGGAAAAAGAAGGCGATCTGGTGGAGTTAGTGGATAGAAACCCTGAAAGGTACGAGGGTATTCGAGAGACCCACAGCTCTCCAAATCCAACCCTAATCTTCCCAGGATTCCCCGCCCTCTCACCCCCTTTCCCCATTCACATTAAGTGTCCATGATACCCTGACTGGAAGCTTCGCTAGTGGGTTAGGCCCCCTCCTTGGAACTGACCCTTTTTTTCGTACGGGAGTAAGTTAGGCCCAGTGGCCTAACAAACTATCATCATGTTTACAGAACATCAAGCTCTTCTCTAAATACATGAACAGATCATGCATCACTTGCGCCTTTACCTTCCAAAACATATTATTAGATATCTTGTGGCACAGTTATTGTACGTTTTTCATCCAGTTCGGAAAACAATTATGTTTTCTATCCCCCCCAGAATTTCATTCTTTTCAGATGATGATTTTGGCTCCCTTTTTTTCTGTGGAGTTTCCTTTTGAGCACACTATCATATATATTTTTTTGTTTCTTTTTAGGTTGACTCATTGGTTGCGTAGAAAAAATGTTGATAACCCATGTGACGCTGATGCTGGTCCTACAGCATCTCTCAGATGCTCCCATGGTAATTTACTGCCGGAACAAGCTCCTGGTGCAAAACGTGTCCAAGTTCCTGAGGGCCTCTGGCTATTTCTTCTTGAAAGTGCTAATGCTGTGAAACCTGATGATTTATTGGGTTGCCAAGTGTTCCATTCTGATTCACAACCTTGTGAAACTTGCTACAAGGAAATTTCCAAAGTTGCATCCCTTGCGGGTAGCCTTAGGTACACACCATAACACTTCTGTCTTCCTATATAATGTGGTCTTGTCACTCGTTATGTTTTTGTCAACATTACAGAGAGTCAAAGCATAAACAGCGACAGAGTCATGAAAGATTGTTTTCTGGGAAAAGCATTAACCTTTACCCTGGTGGGAAGTACTTCTTGTTGCCATCATCGTGGCTCACAAAATGGAGGGCTTATATCACAACAACAGGGAAAAATAGTTCTTCAGTTGAGCCTGAATGCTTGGAGGTCATCGTCGATTCACTAAAATGCGAAAAGGTGATATCAAAATGATTTCTAATGATTTTCTTAGTTTCTTCACCCCACTTGTATATTTGTAAGGTCTCCTTCCCGCTGTCCTAAGGTTTTGTAAGATGCTTTTCATGGAGCGGATGGCATCGTGTATGATTGCACTGTCTCAATTTCTCTGAAAAAATACCTGTTTTGAAGAATCGATGACTTACGCCAAGATCCAATGTGGATCGAGATATCGTGATCACCAGATCCTCCTTTAGTAAAAAAAATGATTTCCCTGCCTTTTTGTAGATGATGATTTTTTTTTTGTAGCTACTCTCATCTTAGGATTCACATTACTTAATATGCCATAAAGGATCATGTTATGGATACGCTATCAAACCTTGTGGTCACTTTTGATCGACCAATGCTAGTGCCAAGATGCTTTATAGTCTCTATTTATTCCAGAAGATGGCATTATTGACTGTATTATGAGGAATCTTGGTAGTGTCCGTGCAAAGAAACAATATCTCACATGCAGGAAGTCTACTATTCTAGGTCATTTATGCTAAAATTTTCATTTTCAAGGGTTTCTTTATCCAAATATTCGAGGGACAACTTTGTGCCATGCACCTGCTGCCTTAGAATCAAAAATCTTAGCGATAATTGTAATCTCAATAGCTATGCAAAGGAGCTAAAACGATTCTTCCCAGTTTCTAATTCTGCACCTCCTGTGCTTCCATGATGGGGGCCTTTTGGCTATTTTCTTACGCTAGCATTGATGCCTACTATTGTCAAATGCCTCGTCCTACCATACCACTGTATTATGAAACCATTTCTCCCTGTTCCTGGCTGTATTTTCACTTCCTTGTTTTCTATAAAATTGGTTCAGTCATTTCCAATCGCAACCCTTCTTTTGTCCTCGACTTCCACATCCATTAACCATTGTTAGTCTTAGATGATAATGCCACCTTAGGCTATCATTGGCGTCTTGTCTTTGTATTTTTCCTCAATTGAGATCGTCCTCTACATCGCCCTACGTTGCCATCCGAGATGAGCTTATAATGTTTAAGTCTCATCTTCTCTCGGATTATCTTTGGTACTCCAAATATGGGTAAATTTGAGATTGGTAGGTAGTCAGTTCTAACGTACTAAGGTCTGGCTTTCCATCAGAGCGAAGAAGCTTGCCTTTCCATCCTGTCAACTCTTCTTTCACGCCTTTTTACTATCGAATGTTAGCTTTAAAAGTCCTATATTTCCTTGCTAATAATTCTTATCTTTCTGTATATCAGCATGGTCGACTGCTAGAAAGGCCTCTCGGGCTTGTTTGCAAGCGTGGTCTGATCACACAAAAGTTGTCAAACGTAAGTGAATTCAGTTCTAATTCCTCCTTGCCTTTTTTGTTTTTCCCTTTTTGTTCGTATTTTAAAATTTGTTAAAAGCCTATATAAATGATTACCAGAATTTCTGGTCATGTTTATAGTTGTGTCTGGTGGATTTTTTTTGTCAAACTGGGGCAACGTATTTTCCATTACCAAGACATGTAATGGGATAGGGTATTTTCCCTATGAAATGCATATAATGGGCCCTGTGATGTGGCTTTTATCTCGCATCCCCTTTCTCTCACGGTTCGATAGTAAAAAAAAATTCTTTACTTTCATTCTTTTTTCCTAAATTAATGCGTTCTTTATCTTCTATTCATGCTTATACCTCTTGCTGTCGCAATCTTGTTTGCACTTGCTCTTAACCTGTGTAATGTCTAAAACTTTCAAATGATACTGTTATTAATTTTCTATTCCAGTTTCTATTATCTTTATGTATCCATTTTTGCTTGTGTAATATTTCAGGTCGATGGGTTAACGATAATTCCAGAGAGTGATTGGAAGCGTTTCTGTATAGAATGGGAAGCGATCGAGGAGAAAGGCATTTCTGCTGAAATTCTTCGCATCAATAATAAAGTAGCTGGATCTTGTGAAGGGATCCCAATGTCAGAGGATAATTTAAATTTATCAAATGATGAAGTATCTTGTGAGCTAGAGTCTAAGGATCTTATTATCAAGACTGATCCAGAAGTAAGGCCAAGGAGATACATAATTTACAAGTTAACATTTGCAAAGTGTGAACTCCCTATTTTTTCCCTATAAAGTTCACTAAGGCCTTTTATTTCATGCATACATCCTTCCATTCCCTTTCATTCCTTAATTGAGTTCATATCATACCATGCGTATTCAAAAGTGACTGCAAGCTTTGTGATCAACAGCCATTGCCTTTCTGAGTTATAGGATGCCTTCACGAGCTTATTTAGTATCTTCATATGCTTTCTAGATTTGTGAGGAATGTATTGGGGAAAGAGATAGCTGTGAGCTGATGCGCAAGCTTAACTATTCCGATGAGGAAATCAGTGTGCATCTAATTCGGGGCAAAGAAGTTCCAAGATCACTTTTGGAAGCTTCTACAAACATCTCTGAGCCAGATCGTCGAACTTCCAAGCGTTCACGGAGAACATCATCTGGCAAAATTTGTAATTTGAGAGTATCAGGCACGACATCAGTATATCAGTTGAAGATGATGATTTGGGAATACTTTGGGGTATGAATATATCACAGAATATGATTTACATTTTTATGGTGTAAAATTACCTGGAGACATTGGATTACTAACGTTACACGCCAGTTATTGTTTTGATATTTTTCCTGTCTCTATATAATCGGAAATGAACGTTTTCAAAATAATGCTTTCAAACATCTTTTCAAACTTTTTTATTGGTGCATCTCCTTCAAGCCATTTGTCCTCCAAATTTTTCAGTCGTATATCATTCCCGCTTTAAAATTTGCTGAAATCATTGGGATGTCCGCAACCTGCCGTAGTGTTTTTCCTAAAGGAAGGAAGAAAGGATATCTAATTGAGGCCGTAGTCTCTAGTTTTTATGTTAATGTAACCTTTTTGGAAAAGTATCGGTTATGACATTTTTATGGGTGGAAAACGCCCTAAATTTATCTTCTTGAAACGTGCAACAGGTAGTGAAGGAAAACCAGAAACTTCACAAAGGTTCTCTGGAAATTGAAGGTGACTCTGCTACTCTAGCTGACAAGAATATTTTTCCTGGAGATGTTCTGTGGGTCACTGACTCCGAGATTCATGAGAACCGCGATATAGCCGGTATGGAAGAACCACTCATGAACTCTCTTTTTTGAGACCATTGATCCATTCATGTATAAAATGCCCATTTCTTTGCTACTTCTAGATGAGCTTTCGGAGCAGAAGGTTGAGTCCCATCAAACGGAAGAAGGGTTTCGTGGGACCCTTTTGTTGTCAGATGTTTCCATTCAGGTACTGCTAGTGATATAAACCATATTGACTTTCGTTGAACGTGTTCCACAATGTCACAGTTGGGGGTCATTTTCTGCAGGACAGGCATGATCCTGCCATCTCAAGTCATATATGATGCCGAGGTGACCCGCCAATCGTTGATTTGGTGTTGGTTACATTTAGCATGGTACCCACCATGTGATTGCAAATTAACATCTTACCTCTGGGCCATCAGGTTTTGCCTGTTCGGGCATCCACCTTCGGTCAAGGCTTACTTTTGTAGATAATATTGGCATAGCCATCTCAGCCTCCAAATATTCAGACAGATGGTATACAGTTCACACTAGTCGACAGAAGACTCACTGAACATAAATGCATAGCATTCTTTAGGACCATGTTACTCGCACATGCTTCACAGCCATGTGTTTTAATGCCTCTGCAGTTCTCTCAGCATGTTTGCCGCAGCAGGTCCCCCCGACGCTGTTTCGAGAGATCCTCTACTCTAAGCCATTGTTTGGGAGTACTTAGAGAAGCTGCACTACAAGTGCACTACTTCGTACGAACTCTGACAGATTGGCCCCTTCTGTATTCGCTAGACGAAGCTGTGTGCTAGCTATTCCAGGTGATTTGATTCCATCGGTTCCTTTTTTTAGCCGCGTTGACGTTGATTCATAGCTTTTCTCATTTTAACGGAATTTTTTTGAGCAAGGTAGCTGAAAATGCGTAGAAAATGCGTCATTGACCTCACTTGTTTGACGGGAGAAAACAAGAACCAAAAAAAATCCCTGCAGCATTGTAACACATTTAATTTTTAGTGTTAAATACCATGATTGCAAACCTTCCGGCCGAGGGTGGGTAGGCTCAGCAGTTTCGTGTAATACTTGAGCAGATAATGCGACACATCCTCTTGGACACCATAGGTGAGCATTGCAGTGGTCAGAGTCTTGGTTGGCTTAACGATTCATTCTTGTAGAAATTGAGAGTATTGACAGCTGAGACCAAGCATGAGATGCTATTTCTATGGTCATCCTGTTCCACCTGCCGCCAGTCTTCGTCCTCAAGCTGTTCTTGGGTTCTTAGTTTGGCTACAAGGTGGTGATGGGCGCGTGCTATCTCTGTTCAGGCAGGATCGCCCGGATGAATTTACCCATGCATCCATTTCCTTCTCCTTTCTTTCTTTTGATAATTGGATTGTCGGTGTTACATCCGCAGCATGGAGTCGGCACCTTGAAAGAGCTGGCGACTGCCCGCCCAAAATGGCTGGTTCTGTGGCGCGCGCACCTGGCGCCAAAGATTTAGACGGCGATTCTAGCCAGAGCTTCAGATGCCTGCTTGCTGAGCCTACCTCCCCCGGCGCTTGTCACGGCGAATTGTATGGACTTTAATGCGCTTGTTGTAAAGCTAAACAGAGCTACGTATTCCCCGGGGGGAGGGGGGGCGTGGTGCATGTGTTCCTTGTGTGAATTCTCGACCCCCTGGGAGCCGTCTGTGTGACGTATCTACGCCGGTCGGGTTTCTTCTTGAATGATATGGAGTTCCCAATCCAAAGCCCGCAGCGGCAGAAGAAGGACGAGGGAGGGGAAACCGGCGTAGCGTATACACGACGAATTGCCCGCCAAGCACGCGGCCCACGGCATGAACAACGCGCTCCCCCCGAACGCACCCTCCTTCTCTTCGCTGCTTGCGCTTGCTCTGCTCTGCGTCGCGTCCCCCAGCTACTGAGCAACAGCTGGCTCGGCCAGCGAGCTCCTGCTTGCCCGAGCTTGTAGCGATTCGTAGTCCTGGAGAGGGTGGCAAACACGGGTGAGCTACTCTGCCGAAGAAGCGATAGCAGTCCTGGCCTTGGCACGGATGCCCGCGAGGGAGGAAGCTACGCACAGTTCCTACGAGACCAAGATATCGTACCCACAAGAACTGGGAGGGGGGCCGTTTCTGGAATTACCTGCATTATTGCCTGAGCGCACAGCTTTCCTGACAGAACAGCGCCTTCCATGGAAGCCAAGTACTTCTGTTTTGTGTAATCACCCGCCAAATAAAAGCCTTCAATCGGAGACCTCTGCAGAGGGCGGCACGGTTCACAATCTGGTACCGTCTTGTAGACAGATCTGGATACAATAATATATAGAGCCTTAGAAGACGGACCATAAACGGCATTCCCAGAAACCAGAGGAGGATCACAGAATTGTAAGCTCACCTTGGTGTTTTCACCACGTGATATTTGATTATTTTGGCCTTACTCTGATCGGCTGCGATCTCATCGGGAAAGAGCTTCGCCAGCTCTTCCATAGTGGCGTCAATAATCTCGCTGTCACTCCGGGAAATCCACTCCTCCGCTGGTGCAAAGACTAGCTCCAGCATAGATTTGTTCGGATCGTAGTATTCCTGCGAGGAAACTATCCCCATCATGACGAAGGCAGCACTCCTGCCTAGATTCCTACCAATCTTACTTCCCAAACATGGGCGATAAGTATGCCGACCATAAAACACTACTGAAAACAAGGGAATCCAATATTTAGAGGAAGAACACGACTCTAATGGGTGAAGGTAATGCTCAGACAGTTGGGCAGTCATCTTGAGCAGTTCTGTGGATGTTCCCAATCTTTGTCATCGTACATGAGAAGGTATGAATTTCGGAAGCTGATGAATAGAAAAATAATTCTAGCGTGATATGATGGGCGGCCTTCGCACTGGGAGAGAACCGACTGAAGAAACAGATTCACATTCAATGTCTATGTCTCACGAAGAGTGAAACAAAAATTTCTCATGGACCCACGTGAACTGCAGCCAATGCATTTCCTTTAACTACAAAACGATGGCTTCGTTTGCCGCGATCAATCATCGCGGCTATGATCAGAAGGCAAGTGCCCATAAATGGAAGATAGATATCTACTCACAAAGTATTCCACCATAAATAGGACATACCTTGCAAGTAACCGACATATCAGCATACACACTCAAGAGAGGACTCCTGTAAAGGGAAACATTGGGAAAGAAAATAACTACATTAGACAGTCTATGGAAATATATTACTAAAATTAACAACGGAAACCCACACATTTCATCGTGCAAATGCATATACAACTACAAACGTTCATTTTTGCATGTTGGACAGATTAATTTCACCCACCATTTTTAAGTTACAAAGATTGTTAGCGTACATGAAGAGGAAAGAGAACCTATTTTCGTCAAAGATACCCCCCCCACTAGTACTAAATCCATGGAATAGTGTAGGCCAACATATCTTCGATAAATTAATCTATCATTGCAGCATAGGATATAACACAAATATTACCCGCGCATGTAACCACTGAGTCACAGTGATGGTTGAATCAAAGTTGCCAATATATCACTGACTAACTAGTGAATGCTGGAATCTGAGGAACTCTAGGTCATCCATTCATGTTTGTCACTAAAAGTCATCAGACTTTACCACAGTTTTATTTAAGCTCGTATAGGATATCTCTCTATAAACAACTAAATATGTACAGGGGATTAGTGATAACGAGTCATTCGATCATTTTGTTCAATGTTCTTGAGACAAAATCCCTTGATTTTTCAATTTCGCACGTGTGAGATGTGGGAAATGAAGAATGTTATTCGTGGTCAATTTCGACACAATTAACGCCACACTGGAGCAGCTACTATGCCGAATACTAAGACAGAAACTCAAAACCCCCACCCAATAACAGACGAGTTATAAAAATTAATTTGAGTGTTTTTTTTAAATCAAGGAAACCAATCAACGGCAATCTGTGGCCAAGCGAGCAAATCACATATTTAAACCTATTTATCATAACAAACTTCTCTAACCACAGATCCTGGTGCATAAAGGATGGCCAAAGTAGGCTTCTTCTGAGTTTAAAGAAGCAGTATACTCGTTACTCTTTCATAGTCTCACGTAAGAGAGGTAGAAAAATGAGAAATCGACGTCTATCTAATCTTGTCCTGGGGAAAAGAGTCTGATCACGTCAATGAAGCAGTCGACAAAACAACCAGTGATACAAATCATCAGACTGACCTGCTAAAAAGCAGGTGATCGTAGGTATTCTTCAATTTTCTGTCAAACCTGAAAACATAAATTATTCACAATGAGCAAACAATCGAAGCACCCAAGAACTGAATCAAACACGCAAATTCATTAACAAAAAAAGTTAATTGCTGTAGTTCCAGAGTGTAAAAATCATAGAATCCTTCAACTTCGGATCTTTATACTATAGTACTACGTAAATAACTTATTCGGTGAATTGAGATTAATCTTGTGCGTATTTGAAGATAATTAATCATATCTGCTTCCCATAACCCTGCCTCAACTCTCTTGGGAAGTCAAACATACCCCCACATATTCCATCCGATTTCGCAGACCAACCAGATATCAACAACCACATTGGTGTCATCTTGACATGGCTTGAAAGACAGAGGATATACCAGATGTGCACATTAATCACCGGAACTCCCACTAACTTCTCGAGCCGCGTGAAATAAGAAATCTCTTTCCAACTTGGAGGCAACTGTAGCTTTAAGATGTCAACTGGCATAAATATAGTCATGAGAAACGCATATAAGTAATAATGATGCTTAGCATTCGCAACAAGAAAATTATTCAGATGGAATGCAACCCATAAAAGAACAAGACTTATTACCTACCAGGTGTAGCGAATACATAAACATCTCCTCTGATTACATTTCCATTACTGAGAACAAACTGCTTCACAGTTTTGTCAGGATTCAGCTCAATCTTTTGTATTCGTGAATTAAGTTGCACTCGACCACCCAACGACTGAATATGGTCAACAATTGGCGTACACAGCCTCTCTGGTGGGTTACCATCTAAGAAGGCCATCTTCGAGCCATGTTTTTCCTGTTTACAGAAAGTTTCATTTCTTGCTGAGTGTCTCAGTATTGTGATTGGCAATTTCTGCTTGGTAATACTTCTGAAACTTAAAAACATAAAGTTTTGTTTGATGACTGCTTAAAGCACCACCAGGGAATGAAATGGATGGCAAGTCCGGTATTAAGATAAAGAACTAAAGAGAAATTAAAATAATCGATATATTTAAAAATTTTGATAATTTCTAGAATAGGAAAAAAAATGGTGGATCACGATGGCCAGATGCAGTTTGATAAATTAAAGAGTGCACAAACTTTTCTCTGCCCTTTGTGAGAAAAAGTAATGCCTGAACATAGCCAATAAAGATCACCCAGCAAAACTTTTTCTTTTTTTGGTTCCTTAAGTGCTTATTTGCATCAATACTTGGACAATAAGCTAATTAATTTACATGAGGAAGTGGCTTTGGTAGAATACTATGAATTAGAAATTTCGTTTACTGATGAGCGAGGAGAACTCTTAGGTTATCCAAACCCATGATAAAATAATACATTTCCCACGTGATTATTTCATGAAATTTCCTTTTGCACGGTAATGATCTCCATGTTGAAGCTGAGAAGTCAAACCTGGAGAAAACGGTTCAGAGCAATGAGTATGCATTGCATGGAAAGCTCATCTGGATTAATAAAGTTGAGAGCCTTAGACATTGCTATGAAGACCTCATCATTTACTCGATCAGGTACACCCTGAAACAAGAAAAGAAGGCGGGACAATGAAGAGACAATTCTCAAAAAGATGAAACAAAAAGGTGACACGATGTAGATAAGTCAATTCGGAAACCAGTTTATGAGGATAATCCTGTCGTGTCTTTTTTCCAGATAAATATTCAATTGGACTCTGTCACAAACATGCTGGTTGACTCATAAACCGGCTGGTCCTGACCAACTTTAGATAGCTTTGGGTTTTTCGAGTATCTATAAATTTATAAATCGAAAATTCTCCCTATAAGCTGAACCCAGCTGTTCGGAAAATCATGATACTATCTAGCTAGGCAAAAACAAAATCTCATTTTCCATATGAAGCCAAAAAAATCTACCGCAATAATTCCGACAACCTTTTGTGATTCCTTTCCAATAAAAAATAAACCATATACCTACCCCCAGGAAAATTAAGTTCGATCCTCACTTCTGACGTTGTGAAACGCTTTGATCATAAGTGAAAACTTGCCTATTCTTTTTTTTAACAATCACATCCGTAATAAATTTAGAAACATAATTGATGACTAAAACATTGCGAAGTAGAATATATGGCAAGATGTATTTTCAACAATCCACAGAAAGATGAATATCATTTCGACATATTGTCAAAAATCCTAGGCCTCGGAATATCCAGAGTAAAAACCTTGCAATTCTGTTGGTCATAAAAGCATACCTGCCTCTTCATCCATTCTTTAACAGTAACACCATCCTGAGCCTCAACATAGGCCTGGCCCCCAACCATTGCTGGCAAAAGTCCAATGGCAAACCGCACCTTTTCTGGCCAAGTTAGCATCTCATTGTTTCTAAGAATGGCCCAGATTCCTGTAGTTCAAAATTCTAAGTGGATAAATAAGATTAACACAAAAGAAAAAACATTAAATATTAACTGCTGACTTTACAATAATGAGAACGGAGGCATTTTTTTTATTTATTATCAAACGTTCAAATGGAGTCTTTTAATAAGGCAAATGCATTTACTTTAGCTTCAATACCAAGAGTCAAGATTTCGCATTCAAATGATGAGCACTTTTTAAAAGAGTACAACACCAAATTATGAATTAATAAATTATGAAATAAAAAGTACAAATTATCATCATGCAATGCTTCCAATGACTCCCTTCAAGTGAAAATGTTAATCACTGTTAAGGTGATGAAAACTATTCCAACTACCCAAACCTCCTAATCAAAAACTTGCGATTACAAAACGTCCGAAGCCCATTCCCCAACTTTATATCAAATTCAAGTGAGATAGCTTCACTCTCAAGCCGCCATCTTTTGAAACCTTATTCTTTCTTCCTTCTCAGATGAGCCAACTTTATACGCACAATTTCCAGGACCTATGTCAATTCCACAAGCTAAAAAAATATTTTACTTCTCCCACAACATCTCACCGTAGCCCCATCATGTGGAGAAGTAAAAGGGCACCTAAAAATTAGTTATTAAAGGAGATTTTCTCCTCTCCGGACTAGCAACAAGGCATAGTCGTATTATCCATAAAAAGTAAGATGGTCACATGTAGGACACGTATAATGTGAGATCGGGTAGAGCCTGAGAGCCTACCATTTAGTGGTGCAGGAAGAACTTCTGGAAAATCAAAGCGGCTAAACTCTCCTGGCTTCTCTGGCATTGCAAAAATCATGGAATGCTCCTTCCATTGTAGCCGGTCATTGATTCCAAGTTCCCCAAACAAGTTCTGCACGTTTGGATATGCTCCAACTTTATGCAAAAAGAAGTCAGACAAACTCATTTAATTAGTTGATATTTTCAAATACCAGAACTTTAAAAAAAATTGAAAAGTTAGAGAGGACAATATAGCAAAGTAGATAAACGCATTGGTTTAGGAAAAGGAGTAAGAGAAGGATTGGAGGTGATATATTGACAAACTGACAAGCGCACCCATATTGTCGGCTGTGACAGAGAATCAGGCAACTTTTTTGACAAAGTATGAGAAGAATGTCAAAGAAAGCTTCTCAGAATGGTATTATGAAGGAGCTAATTAAAAATAGGAAATCACCGCCAAAATCGAGCATATGTATCCTCAGAAAAGCCATGTAGTCTCAGAATAGTATTCGACCAATTATACCCATCGCATTTTTACTTACAAAAAATATGTAGGCCTGTTTCGTACCAGTCTCCATCATTGTCCTTCCAAGCAGCAACCTGTGAGTATTAGGATAAATTTATTTTCCGTCAGGAGCTAGTTTCCAATAGTTTCCCTGCAGGAAACCAGCATGAGGAGTGCCCATAATGGATTAAACTTCAAGAGGCCTATAAAGAAAAAGCAGAAAAAATAACTAGACAATTTTTTTCACTGCAAGACCTGGAAATCTCCTACCACCTGAGTCCTTAATATCCAAGGCCAGATCCTTGCATATGTCAGGTCTCTCTTAGAAAGATAGCACGGAAAGTGAGACATATGATTGCTTCTCCTACAAGAGGAAGGCCTCTCACACTGCCTACTGGATACCCATCGTCATTACTACACATAACTTAGCGAAATTATTGGCAGTTCTTCCAGAGCACTAGGCAGATAATTACACTTTCTTACATTCGCAGCCACACTGAAATGTGCACAAAGGCATGCACACGAAAATCTCCCCGCAGAGCTTTTATGTGACCCAGGCCCTGACTCCGATTCGCCCAACTTTCACTTTAGATGACGCTACGAAATTAAGATCCTGATCTGAAACAGACTTTCCCCACTCCATCTAACAGTCTAAAGGAAGGGCACCATCAAGAAAATCAAAGACACTAGCACAGAATGTAATAATATTACTGAAGCTGGTGGGTAATCCTGAAAGAGGAAAAAAAGAGGGGCATTTGCTATAAAACCAACCTTTCCTCCGAGGACATCCCTTGCCTCAAGCAATATAGGCTTATGCCCAGCATCCGCAAGATATTTTGCGGTGGAGAGACCGGCTAGACCTGCCAGAACATGCACATCACAATATTTTAATTTCACAGGGCTGTCGAAGAATTTTCGGGAACTATCTACAGCCAATTCTAAGAGGAGAAATAGGATGCCGATTCTTCGAAGAGAAATAACTGGGAGTACTAATTGAGAGTTATGCACGAATGATAGACTCTCATGTTACCTGCACCAGCGATAACAACTTCCAATGGTCTAGCAGGACGGGGAGAGCTGCGAAAAGATGCAGATAGAGCTGCAGCTTCTAGGAAGTTAACTGTGTCCTCCAATTCTGGCCTCGGATAGTCCACACAGACGACCTGCGACATGAATGCGAGCAGTGAGCGTCGCCGTTTGTAAAAAAAAATCCCTACAATGATCACTGATTTACAGGCAATTCATGGAGATGATGCAGCATACACGGAACCTGAAAAGGGCCAGAGGGCTTTTTCCCCACAGAAGATGACCTCCCGAGTCTTAGTCGATAGCCAAGAACATCGCTACACCGAAATGACAATGCGCCAGTGCGCCCAGGTTCTACAATGGGTAGGATTCTCCTCGAGGCATTGGAACTACAGCTTCTCTGAATCACACCACCCGTATTCACAGCGGAAACAGAACCCGCGAAACCCATACTCGCCTGCGGGCTAGATGCCGCTCTTCACCTGAAAGTCATGACGACGGAATTTTGGCCCTTTCAGAGTTAGTCAGGATCAGAATTACGAAAACATGAAATGGGGAAGCTCGAAAGGGCGATAATCAGCGTCGCGACAGAAGAAAGAGTCGGAACGAAAAAATACTCGTCCTGTTGGTAAGTCAAAAAGCCGGTGGGTACAATTCAACGACATAGATGACCAAAAGAAGCTGGGTGATGCCCATGGAGCTTACAGGAGGAGGAAGGGAACTTCAGATATCCGGTTTCGGAATTATGATGGGGAGCGGCCACAGAAGAACGGAGTACAATCTATGCTGGCGATGAGACTGGAAACGACTTTGTACGATACGAATTGCAAGAAAGAGGAGCGAGTATGTTTGTGGAGAGAGAGAGAGATGCAGTCTGACCTTAGCCAGCCCAGCCCTCTCGTAGCAGGAGAGAAGAGGCCGAGCGCAGACGCGACGCGAAGAAGAAGAGGAGAGCTCCGATCAATTTCCGCCACAGGGGACCGCGGACTCCATTCACCACCCAGTGGGTGAGACCTGTAGCGGAGAGACGAGTGGGCTGCTGGCGGTGGTGGGCGTCGGTCCCTTGAGGAGGGGATGAACTGGTTTTGGAGTTCAGAGCGTGGAGTGGGAAGCGGAAAACTTTTGGATTGGGAAACCTCCTTGGCCCATCCGATTGCGCCCGAGTGTGCCGCTCATCACCGTCCACCCCGCGAACGGCCCGAGGCCGCCCGCAAAGGGACCCACGTCCTCCACACCCCTGCCGGAGAGGACCACTTCCGGTCACACCTTGCGGTCGTAACGCATAGAATCAGATAGTCACAACGCACCGCTTACTGCTCTTCCGTGACAAAGCTGGCTCCCTAATCTTCGCATCTTATTCTCCCCTCGATCAGTGAAGGGACAAGTCGTTGACTTCAGGACCGGACTACTTCACATTCGTTGAATCACAGAAAATTATAAAGGAAGAAAACTACTTTTTCATATTTTACGAAGCGCGTAATCTGTAAATGGTGTTGACTTTCAGATGTTATAAGGCAGATCGCTCTTTCTGAGATCACGAATTGAAGTGGAACAGAACGTCCCGCCTGAATAAAGTTACAATCTTTCAGCTGTGTTAGATGAGTGCATCCAGTCCAAGCAATGGAGGAAGGCTGGCGTGTGCGAGCTTGCGGGATGGGAGATCCGAGGTTCTCAAGTGTCTCCAAGCGCTCAACGAAACAAGACGCTCTGCCCGACGCCAGAGAAGAAGAACACGGAGCAGACCGCCGCCGGTGGTCTCGTCGTCGGCTCCCTTCCATCCACGGGCAAACCCCGCGATGACTGCCGTCTTGTCGTCCCCTTGCCATTCCCGGCGGCTCCAGCATCCGATTCCTTTTTCGTCTCCCAGTGTTACCCCCTTCCTCTGCGCGCAGAGTTCCCTCCAGAGCGGGAAAGAACCTCCTCTCCCCGCGAGATCCCCCCCCAATCCCGGAGAGGGAGCCTAAATGGAGGGAAGATGAAGGCAGGGGACGAGAAATGCAGCGCTGGCCAACCGAGACGGACCGGAAGTCTCCTTCCGATGGGTCTCCTCCGCCATCTCCACGGCCTGCTGCTGCCGCTGCCGCTGCTGCTGCTCTGCTGCGCCAGTCCGTCGTCCCGGGGGGCAACGGCGACGCAGGTGGGGTTCAACTGGGGACTGAAGTCCTCCCACCCGCTGCCGGCTAACGAGGTGGTGCAGCTGCTCCGCGACAACGGCGTCACCAAGGTGAAGCTGTTCGAGGCCGACCCCCAGGCTCTGACAGCGCTGGCCAAGTCGGGCATCGAGGTCATGGTAGGCATACAAAATGACCTCCTGGAACCTCTCGCCGGCAGCGTCTCCGCCGCCGTCGACTGGGTCACTCAGAACGTCTCCTCCTACATCTCCAAGCTCGGCGTCGACATCAGGTAACGAACGATCATCCTTCGTTTCGATTCAAGGGAGGCCGAGGGCGCGCCAACCATGATCTATCCAAACGATTGAAAGTGTTCGACCGAACAGGTTCGTGGCGGTGGGGAACGAGCCCTTCTTGGAGACGTACAAGGACAAGTACCTGCTGGTCACATTCCCCGCCCTCCAGAACGTGCAGGCTGCCCTCATCAAGGCCGGCCTCGGCCGACAGGTGAAGGTCACCGTCCCTCTCAACGCCGACGTGTACCAGTCGGTTTCCGGCCTCCCCTCCGGTGGAGACTTCCGGGACGATATCCGCCCTCTCATGGTCTCCATCGCCCGCTTCCTCCTCGACAACGGCTCCCCGCTCGCCATCAACATCTACCCGTTCCTCAGCCTCTACGCCGACCCTCACTTCCCCGTCGAGTACGCCTTCTTCGATGGCGGCGCCGCCCCCGTCGTGGACGGCGCCGTCTCCTACACCAACGTATTCGAGGCCAACTACGACACCCTCATATGGGCCCTCGAGAAGAACGGGCTCTCCTCCTTGACGGTGATCGTCGGCGAGATCGGCTGGCCGACTGACGGCGACGCCAACGCCAACCTCGTCAACGCCCGCCGCTTCAACCAGGGGCTCCTCAACCGGGTCATGGCCGGGAAGGGCACACCGAAGCGGCCCTCGGCACCGCCGGAGATGTACCTCTTCGGGCTCCTCGATGAGGACACCAAGAACATCGACCCCGGAGCCTTCGAGCGCCACTGGGGAGTCTTCTACTACGACGGTGGCCTCAAGTATCCACTGGCGCTCGACGGGGGGCGGAGCCTCGTCCCAGCCAGGGGGGTGCGGTACCTTTCCCGGCGGTGGTGCGTGCTCTCGCCGGAGGCCGGCGTCGACGATCCCCTGATCGGCGCCAGTGTTGACACGGCCTGCGGATTCGCCGATTGCACCAGCCTCCTGCAGGGGTCCTCTTGCAACGGGCTGGACCCCCGCAGCAAGGTCTCTTACGCCTTCAACCAGTATTTCCAGGCGGCCAGCCAGCAGAGCGGGAGCTGTGGCTTCTCAAACCTGTCCGTGATCACCACCACCGACCCGTCGCAGGGAAGCTGCAGGTTCGGGATCATGATCGACACCTCAAGGCGTGTGGCGACGCGGAGCCCCTCTTCCTCCTCCTCCTCCTTCCTTTCCCACGGCTTCAGACGCTGGGGAGCACAGCCAGCTGTTGTCGTGGCGGCGGCCGCGCTGTCGTCACTTCTCCTCTGACGAGTTCCCGCAGGGATGAACTTAGCACGTCCGCTGCACCCCTGACGTCGATGGTAGGTGGGATAATCCCGCGTTCGACACGACAAGCTGAGGGAAATGTGAACGAAGAAGAGAGGAGGAAGAAGGAAACCCTCTTCCTTAGATTCGTCCACATTCTGCTATTCACCCCGTCGCAGAATCCAGAGATAAATAACTCGTTGACTAATTATCATGAGGATTGGTGGTAGCGACTGACTCATTTACGTTGATTATTAGGAGAGCCAGGCTGATTGAGACAGCTGCCTTAATATAACACTCTAAACGTCATAATTTCCTCTGCCCAGATGAATTCTCGGTCTGAAGTCCACAATGCAAGCTCAGAGATTATTAATCTCGCGCCACTTTGTAATCTTGGGGAACGATCACCTGGAGAAGTGCTCCGTGGATCGATGGCGGCGGTGCTCGACGTCGTCCCAGGTAAGCAAGGAGACCAGGAGAGCGATCTTGGCCCGCAGGGAGTGCTGCGCTGTCATGGCGTGAACCAGAGAGGAGATGCCACGGCGGGTCGCCGTCCGCCGACGTGTTCATCGGCCCCGCTTCAACGCGTGATGGGGTCGAAGCACATCACGCGGGTTCTGATGTCACGATACTAGGGGCCAGCTGGTAGCCGACGGAGCACACGCGGGCGACAGATAGAACGAGAGAGGGACAGAGAGAGAGAGAGAGAGAGAGAGAGAGAGGAGAACCGGTATGTATCAGTGATCGAGGCGATGATTAAAGAAAGTATAGATAGTAGCGGTGTTACTCTCGCAGCCATCGAATTCAACTCTTGCCCGCGCACGTCGGATTGCGATCGAACGGGTTGCTTGCAGTCTCAGGACACCCGTGAAGCTCCCCCGGCATTGTCGGCGATGGAACGCTTCTCGTTCATGCTGCCAACCCTACTTTTACCTGATCTCCGTGTGTAAAACGGTGAAACCATGTAGCGAGTAGACCGAGATTTCGTACCTTCTGTTTATCCGACATGCGGGAAATGGTGGGTAGGGACGAGCAAGACAGTGGCGGGCAATAACTCGAGCAGCGAAAGGGTCACTGTCCCGAACAGCAGGAGAGAGAGAGAGGGGGGGCGTGGGTGGGTAGGCGCCTGGGGAGGGGGAGAGGGAAAGATACGGAAACCGAGCGAGAGAGGCAGGGAGGGAGAGGGAGAACAAAGTCTGGTCTTTTGTTGTTTTTATTCTTCCTCGGCAGATTAGGGAGGAGAGGTGCGGAAGTGGTGGCGGTGGCGGGCAAAGGAGGGGGCAAGGGGGAGAAGGAGATGCTGCAGCAGCTTTTCGTTCTTTCGGTCTGCATTTCGGCCTGGAATGCGGCGCCGGTCGATGGCGCCACAGATCAGAAGGACGGTATGCCCTCTTCGTCAGCTCCGTGCTTTCGCCTTTAGTTTTCCCTGCGCGCCCGTCTTTTTTCCTTAGATGAGGGAGACGAATGAGATCGCTCGTTTCTTTAGCTACCAGTTGATGCATCGACCTTGCTAGCCTCCTTCGGTGGGCTTGTTTGTGTCCCCCTCCAGCTAGGCTGTGAGCGATTTCATTCCATCTTATGGCGCACTGCGAGTGCAGAGTGAGTAGATTTGGGGAGAGCCAGACCTTTTTCCAGTAATCTTCCGAGGAGAGGAGATTCCCCTCTGTATGACCGCAATGCGCCGACACATCTTGGGTATCCCAGGAGCGATGGGCGATGACCCAATTTGGTGTCTTCTTGAGGTTGGATTGGATTGGATCTCGGTTCGTAACGAGGGCCATATCTTCCTGCCTCCGCCATTACATGATTGCCGGATTCCCGTTCCGAGTTCAATCCCGCTGCGATTTTCCTTTGCCGCGGGCTCGCGCAGCTGACTATAAAAGTCTGAATTCCGATCGGGAAGGAACCGAGCTTGGCCGTGCCATGGTGGAATCGGAAGACTTCCTACTCGAAACCTACATGATACGTCTGTGAATTCAGAGCCAAACCAGGGTGGCCGCCCCTGCCCACCTCCCAATCTTGTTCACCAGAGCGATACATGGGTTCGCTTTAATATCTACTGAAAGTAACCTGAGATGTCGTAGCGGAGCTTTCACCCCGATGCGGACACGTCTTGATTTCCGAGGACGCCCTTCATTGCCTGCTTTCTCCCCTCCGGAGCGTTTCATGTGAGTTCAACCTCATTTCCCTACTTCTGACATGGGTTTTTCTTGTTTTTTGTCCCCTGGTGCAGTCTCCGCTCTTAATGTCATGTATAGCAGCTTGAACAGTCCTTCGCAGCTGACCGGGTGGACCTCTAACGGCGGGGATCCATGCGGGCAGTCATGGAAGGGCATTACGTGCTCGGGTTCCAGAGTTACAGAAATGTTAGCGTCTGGTCACTCAGTGCGCATTATGGAACGCTCCTCGTCCTCTTCTGACGCTCTCTCCCCCTCTTTTTGGATTCATCAGCAAATTGTCTGGCTTGGGGCTCACCGGGTCGATGGGCTACAAGCTTCAGGATCTGGACTCCGTGACGAACTTGTCAGTCTCGCTGCCCCCATCATCTCCCCTGCGCTTCTGTCCGTGATTTTAGTCTTTCTAATGTTCATATTAACTCGCGACGGCACTAATGCAGCGATTTGAGCAACAATAACGTCGGAGTTTCGACCGAAATACCATACGGGCTCCCCCCGAACCTAAAGAGACTGTGAGTTCTAGAGTAAAAGCTGGTGTTTTCTATCTGCCGTCCGCTCCCCTGCAGTCTGATCGGAGCGCCTTCCTTTCTATGCAGGAATCTTGCGGGGAACTCATTCAAGGGGGGAGTCCCTTATTCGATTTCCCTGATGTCTCAGTTGGATTATCTGTGAGTTCCTTCGTGCAATGCTCGTCATTGACCGATTGCTTTCCACACACACGCATGCATCAGCAATCCGATGTCTATGATCGCAGGAACATCAGCCGTAATCAGCTCAATAATATCCTGAGCGACATGTTCGGGAACGTCCCTGGCCTTGTGACGATGTGAGTCGGCACTGTTTTCTTTTTTTTTTGGCTCCCAAAGCAAAGAGAGACACTCACTCCTCCGTTCCGTGACAAAAACTGTGCAGCGACCTATCCTTCAATTCCCTCCCGGGTACCCTGCCGGAGTCCTTCAGCTCCCTGGCGAGTCTGACGACCCTGTAAGGCATAATCTCATTCTTCCTCCATTTATTTCCGTCGGAGAAGCTGGGGCTGTGCTACTTACACTCGCCATGTTGTCTCCGTGCTGCAGGTATTTGCAGAATAATCAGTTTACTGGCTCCATCGATGTTCTTGCGAACCTTCCTCTTGAGAACCTGTAAGGGAGAGCTGTTTATTTGATCCGGCCGACAAGGCATCCTCTGATAACGCTAACCCGTCTGTAAATTGCCGGCAGGAATTTGGCCAACAATCGTTTTACCGGATGGATCCCTGAGAAGTTGAAGCGAATCAACAATATCCGGTGAGTGTCGTCGGGCTTATCAACCTTGCCTTCTTCACACAGCCCGGTATCTTGAACCGAGTGCACCAAATTCCGCAGGACCGAGGGCAACTCATGGAGCTCGGGACCCGCACCTCCTCCGCCACCTTATTCGCCTCCTCCCAACCGGCGCGCGAGCCCTGGGACGAGAACCAACCCCAGCAATTCCTCTGATGGTGGTGGCGGGGGGAAATCCGGCATCGGCGGCGGGGGAATTGCTGGGATCATCATAGCCCTGTTGGTGGTCGGTTCAATTGTTGCATTTTTCTTGGTGAAGCGCCGAAGGTCCCGGCATTCCTCCATCAAGGAAAAGCTCGATGTGGACAGGCCTTTCACAGCATTGCCCGAACCGAACGGTAGTTTAAAGTTTCCTTTTTTCTGTTCTGTGCTTGGTTGGTTAGGCTCATCAGATCTTCCGTGCATTAGCAGTGAGGTTCATGCGCTCCAAGAAAACACACGCCATCTGACCTCAATTTTTTTTATTTTTTTTATTTTTTTCCTCTCTTCTTCTATCTGGGTGTGCATGCTCGTTCCAGTCTTCCACTAAACTGCATGCTACTAATTAAAGTATGAAAACTCTTGCTCTAACTGCAGAGATGAAGTCCGTCCAACCATCCTCTGCTGCGGATCATGTGACTGTTGAGTTGCCCGCCACCCTCAGCCTGAAACCACCTCCGATGGAGCGGCACAAATCATTTGACGATGGGGAGGATCTGCCCAGCAGGCCACTTGTGGCGAAGAAAATTACATCTCCCATTAGTGCAAAGGCGTATCCTGTAGCGGACCTGCAGATGGCTACGGGCAGCTTCAATGTGGAAAACCTTCTTGGCGAAGGGTCTGTTGGCCGCGTCTACAGGGGACAGTTTGATGATGGGAAGGTATGCCTCTTTCTTCTTCTTCTTCGTTTGGGCATCCTGTGGGGATACATATAGTTGTCTGCTAGCTTTGCTGGATGAGTTCCTCTGCTGGAAAAGATGCAGTACTGAGGATCATAATTCGACGTTGTTTTGTGTTGGCCTTGTACAGGTTCTTGCTGTGAAGAAGATAAATTCTTCTGCTCTGCCCAATCAATCGGCTGATGATTTTCTTGAAGTAGTCTCGAACATAGCCAGACTACACCATCCCAATGTCACCGAGCTCGTGGGCTACTGCTCAGAGTTTGGACAGCACCTGCTGGTCTACGAGTTCCACAGGAATGGCTCTCTGCATGATTACCTCCACCTGTCCGACGAATACAACAGGCCTTTGACGTGGAACACTCGGGTGAAGATAGCACTCGGCACTGCGCGGGCATTGGAGTGAGTACCTGCTATTTTTGTTTTCCTGCTCTTCATAAATGGTCTTGTTTCGATGATGCGTCCCTGTGGAGAAAATCGGCGACGATTCGCTTAGACTAGTGAAGCTTGGGAATGGAAATGCCTTCTGCATTCATGAAGAGGTATTACGTTCAATTGCTCTTCGATCTGTGCTGAAGTCCGTGCACGTGTATGAAGTGTCTCTGGTCGGCGGTGGTGTGAATCGTCTTCATCGAGTTAGGAAAAATCGCCGGGGGAGGAGTTGTTTCGTTGCAAACTATAGGAAATCGCTTCTCAGGCTTTATTTCCTGTTCTCCTGCACCTGTGGTTGGTGACGATGGCCTGCTAACATTTCTCTCGCCGCTGTTTCATCTTCAGATACCTTCACGAGACCTGCTCGCCGTCTCTTGTTCACAAAAACTTCAAGTCGGCGAATATCCTGCTCGACTCGGAGCTCAAACCCCATGTTTCGGACTGCGGGCTGACCTCACTGATCCCGGATGCCCAGTACCAGGTGGGCACCGTGGTCGGATGCATCTCTGTTAGTAATAGTTCTTCTTTAATAGTTGCCTGCTCTCTCTATTGTGTAATCCTTGTTGGGCGAAGTTTGGTAATCTTTCATGATCTCCAAGGAACTGGATGGCATCTTCGTGCAGGGCTTAGATCACAACCTGGGTTCTGGGTACAGTGCCCCTGAGGTCGCCATGTCCGGCCAGTACACGATGAAGAGTGACGTGTACAGCTTCGGAGTCGTCATGCTGGAGCTCCTGACGGGGCGAAAACCCTTCGACAGGTGAGCCCACAAACGTTGATCCGACTCGTTTCAAGGTTCATTAGCCATGCGTGTGAAGGAGGAGAACTGTCTGAATGGTGATGTGATGCTGAATGGTGTCCATGACCACCTATGGCAGCGCGAGACCGAGATCCGAGCAGTCGCTGGTGCGATGGGCTTATCCGCAGCTCCACGACATCGACGCTCTGGACAAGATGGTCGATCCCGCCCTGAAGGGGCTGTACCCGGCCAAGTCCCTCTCTCGATTCGCCGATGTGATCGCTCTGTGCGTTCAGGTACGTGGCGGTGGAATTGCCGGTGCCTTCCATCGACGAAGGCAGAAGTTAGGTATGCTGCTGTTCTCCGGCGGATTGCTTGCTTACTTACTGACGCGGAGAAAATCTTGCTGATGGCGCAGCCCGAGCCGGAGTTCAGACCGCCGATGTCGGAGGTGGTCCAAGCGCTGGTGCGGCTAGTGCAGCGGGCCAACATGAGCAAGAGGATCGGCAGCGCCGACGAGCAGGAGGCCGCACGGCGTGCCGACGATACCGACGTGCAGGATTACATGTTCTGATTACATGTCCGTTCTTCCAGGTTCGTCCTTTTGATTCGAGTTCTCTCTCTTCTCGCCCGCCGTCCGGCGGCGGACGGTAGATACATCCGCGCGCGGTGCATGTGTACGTACGTGTAGGTAGTGTGTGCTCGCGTGCGGGGATCATCATCATCATCATCTCCTATCTTTTTCTCCTCTCTTCTTCTTTGGTCTGCTGTTCTCTGCTCTTCTCTTCTCCCATTTAGTCGCTGTATCCAAGCTAGAAAACAATATCAAAGAAACTACTGTGCCCGATCTTGTCTTGTCGAAATGTGATGCAGCCTATCCCTCCCTCTTCGCGGGCGGCACTTTCCGCTCCGGAGGAAGGTGCAACGCCGCAGGGGTTGACCGTGGAATTTGACCATTACTCTCTACCAAGTGACCTAACAGAGGATGGGTCCACGGGTAGAGAACTTGCTCTCTCTCTTTCTTTCTCTCTCCCTCGTCTTCTTGATGGAACAGGTGGTTCAATCCCTCCCTCAAAGGACAGGTGCACTGTAGGCGAGGGTCGACGAGTTCAAACGCGAAACCGCCGTCGGCGGTCTTCCCTTTGACCTTTCCGCGCGTGGGGACGCTCCACTCTCTTCTGCCTCCGCTGTCGGTCAAAAACATTAAGCCTGAGCCATGTGGAACGCTCGTCTGATGTGGACGGGGGTGCCACGAAGATCAGCGCCGTGATCCTAGTTGCCACTGTCTTCTTCCTCTTTTCTTCTCTCTCTTTCTCTGGGCTACGTAGATTCCATGAAACCGACTCGTGTCTCTCTGTCAATAGGACAATCCGCTGCGCCGCCGGTCATGAGTTAGTTGCATAGTCTGACCGAGTTCCGTTAGCAGCTTCCCCGTTTTCTTCTCCGTCAATCAGTCTACAGACGAATGATCCGTCTTCTGGTCTTCGTTCCCCGCTCGGTCCCCCCTCCCTCTCCTCTTCGACATCGAGGCAGCGAGCAGAGTTAACTCGCATGGATCTCATTGTACAGAGAGAGCGGAGGATCAAGAAGAGGAAGAAGAAGAGAAACATCCCGGTAGGACAGCCGTTGACCCCACGGTCTCTACTTTTGAAGAGTCGGATCGGAGGCCTTGCCTTGTTCTTCTCCCCAAAAGTACCGTCATCGTTTTCTGAGATTTATTTCTGTTGACCGGATATCTCACGTTCTCATCTACGACCACCGTAGACTTCCCCTCACCGAGGAGAACCCCGCCGTTGACCCCAACTTCGTGGTCACTCGTGGGCTCCGAATCGTTCCCGTTCAAATCTCAAGATTTGACCAGTCCGCCGTCGAAGCAGCACCATCGGATTGGTCCCCTTGCCTACCTTCCGCTCTCCTCCCTCGTCACTTATCCACTCTAATCTTCCTGGAAGAAACAGGGAAGCCTTCCCCTCATTCCATCCTGCGCGTGTTCCGCCGTATTTATATCAACTTTCGGGCGGGGAGCCCGAAGATCCGCTCTGAGGAACCGATCCCGGGATCCCATATCTCCTCTCCCTTCTCCCTTCTCACTTCTCCCGCCTCCCCCCCACAGTTTCTGAAAAGTAATCTTCCCCGTCTCCCGGATTGTGTGAACTCAGAGCGAGAGAAGGAGAGGGCAAGGCTAACCAGCAGCGAGCCAGATACCTTGGCTTCTGCTCAGCCGCCGCCATGTCGACGACGCAGAAGAAGGAACCGAATCTGGCGTCGGACAGACGAGGGGGGGGGGTCTCCCTCAGTAGCGAGATCATGGTGGCCGCCATCATCTTCTTCTTCGTCGTGGTCGTCATGGTCATCTTCCTGCACGTCTATGCCAAGTCCCGCTGGAGAAGGTCCGCCTCCCGCCGCTCCCGCCTTATCTTCGCCGCCAGCGATGGCGGCCCCCTAGCCGCCCGCCGTGGGCTCGAACCCACCATCCTCGCCTCCCTCCCCGTCTGTATCTACCGCCCTGAGGACTTCAAAGCGGCCGGCGGGCTCGAGTGCGCCGTCTGCCTCTCCGAGCTTGCCGACGGCGAGAAAGCCCGGATTCTCCCGAAGTGCAACCATGGGTTCCACCTCGACTGCATCAACATGTGGTTCCATTCCCACTCCACGTGCCCCCTCTGCCGGAGGGCCATCGGAGCAGTCGCCGATGTCGAAGACGGGAGCCAGGTTCCGTCGCCGGAGGTAGACTACACCACCGTCGATTTCACGAGATCATATTTCCTACCCACCAACGTGCTCTTCTGGGGCAATCAAGATCAGGTCGCCTCGCTGGCTGGCTCCCCAGAAGCCGTCCCGACTCCCGCTGCTGCCTCGGGGCCTTCGTCGTCTTCTCCGAGCAAGTTGGAAGGGGCCCTGGTGATAGAGATACCTGGTCGGCCGGCGGCTGGGCTAGGCCTCTCTTCGCCGCCGGCGTCGGGCAGGGTACCCTCTGAAGAGCTGAAGTCCCCGGTGCCGACCCCGACGCTGAACAGGTTGAGGTCTCTGAGGAGGATCCTGAGCAGGGAGAAGAAGATCTCCGGACCTTCCTGCAGTCCGCGAGTCGCCGGTGACATCGAACAGGGGATGGGAGGAAAGGAGGGAGGCATAAGCGGCGGTGCCCTTCCAAGGACGACGGCCGTGAATCCGTGAAAATAGGATCGCTCGCAGGATTTGTCATGAAGTGCTCACGAGGTTTGCCGTGAATGCAGCCACCAGAAAGCTGATCTCTCTCTCAATGTTCCAGAGGGGGACGATCGTCAGAAGCGGAGGTTCCCAGAGGCATTGGCCATCCGCCGATCGTCGGAGTCAACGGTCGATTCAAAGTTACCGTAGCAAGAATTTGAATATTCTTTCTGTGTAATTTTCGTTCGATTCATTGGTTGGGGAAGTCCATACGAAACTGTACAGGCTGCTGATAGGATTCGTTGATTCACTCGGGCTTCCGAGAGATGATTTTTCCAAGCAGTGATGACCTTGTCGTTTAGGAGGAGAGATGGTCACCTGGGTCTCCGTCTGGCTTCCCTCTCCCTCTCTCTCTCTCTCGACTTCTAGGGAACCTGCCGTGCAGAGTTGTGGGGTTCGACGACGGAGTCGCTTCACACGCAATACCTCCTCCGCGTCATTTCGAAGCCCAACACTATGTGCCGGCGCTTGCAGGGTGGGTGAGCAGAGACCACGGTGCCTCTCTTCTCTGGTCATCATCACCGGTATTGCTGGTCAACGCCGTGGGCCTCCATCTCTTATGCGGGAGTTTGAAGGACCACGCAGAAAAAGGTCTCTTTTCCCTCGAACGAGAGAAGCTCGTGATAGGGTTCACTACAAGTTTGACTGATATCCGACAAACAATGCTCGAATAGTTAGCGGGTCAACACGTCCTCATGCATCTTGTGTAGACATTATCAGGGTCCCTCTCCATGCATAGACAATTATCCTTTATTTTCACAGTAACATCGTCCAAGCCTTCACAATAAGGTTTTATGCACTTAGATTTGCATTCATCTCATAATGGAAGGGTTTACTTTGGCCACGACTATGAATTTAAAATCATCTAAAATTCGATATCTATGTTTTCGGGCTAATTAGATTTGTATCCATAAATCATAGTTTATATGGATACATCGCTAGGGACTTATTGCTAGATCAAGGCAAATTTTTGTATGTGCCAACAACAACAGGCACATATGTTGGGGATGTATCCCTAGAGACAATAATTTGTTGAGACAAAGAAACAATGGGTTCAATGTAGTTTCCATACATTGATATTAATTAACCCATTTTTTCTATTAATTTGTTCTATTGAGGTATTCTAGCGCTATTGTTGCCTTGCCATGCTAAGAATTTGATCAATATTAAAGTTACAAACTATACTTTACACATGGTCATTCTTGTTAAATTGGGTCTAATTTAAGCAACATACTCTATCACTAACTTACATAGAGTTCGTAAGACTTATTAAGAATGATATTTAATATGACACTAATCTTTCAAGTCATTATTACTAAACTTACCTAGTGATTGATTTTGTCTTAAATAAGATACAAAGGAGATGAGTAGATGAGATCGTTAAGAAATCCTTCACATAATTGGGCTTCGGTCTTTTGTGATGTACATGCATTATTGAGAGTACAGAAGGAAAGATCTTAACAAATATGTGAGCACAACCAGGTCATAATAAAGTCAAAATTAAATATGTTTATCATCCCTCAACTAGATGGTATACTAGACATCGAGGTTGGCTCAATGTTTTCAAGAATTAACCTAAAAATAAACACTATCAAGCTAAAATTGTACTTTCTCTTGGGACTACGTGATACTCACAACCTGCTCCTGGGATTTGTCACGTGTTACATCCTTTTTTTGATAGTTTCATTGTAGAATTATCATTTACAAGAATAATAAACCAGAGCAAGTTAACCTTTAAGATGGAATACTTGTTTTCAAATCTCAAGAAACGTATCTTCTCAGTTTACGGCCTGACTTTCCTGAGTCTCGTCTCTTTTGAGACTATTTGTGGTCATACCAAACCGTCTGAGTCATTGACAGCTCACATGAACCTCAAAATATTTGCTTGCTTTAAATTTTCCATAGTTCAATAATAGATGCCTTTATTATCTATTTAAGGGATTGACTATATGGTGTACCTTATTATTGAATAATTTTATGAGGTTTCTAGTAATGTTTTAATGTACAGATTAGAGTCATTTATAGTTAAGAGATACTCTGAAAACATTTAGCAGAAAATTTAATTATATATAAGTTGAAATATTCCACTTAGCATAGTAAAAATTTATGTGGGATTCGTTGGTGTTATTGGAGATATCATCTGTCACCCAATGAGTCTTCTATATTTTATTTTGAGCATTGTGTACAACTATGCATTAACCTTTGAAAATTGTTAACTCATAAACATGGTAAATTATTGACTACACTTTGGATTGTTTGTAGGTAATGCATGAACAATGTTAATAGATGCAAAGGTCCAACGGTCTAGGCCATAAGGTGGCCTTAATATTATGTCTCATGATTGGAGTAATAAGGTTTTTATATGCTTAATGATGATGATGAGAATTGGCTTCGATTTGGTGATATGTACCAACGTAGACAAAAATTAATATGGATGAAAGTAATAATTGTGTTACAAAAATAGTATCAATTTTTTAAAGACTAAATGTTGCATTATTTTACTTCAATTACCAAATTATTTACATGAGAACTACATGAAAGTGTATCAAGAAAACATTTCTTCCAATTAGTTGATAAGCAATTAGGTTAGCCAAGCCTCAAACAAGATGAAGTTGAGAGAAGATATCTATGCTAAACTATGATTTGCATGGTACTTCTACAAATTCTTTGCAAAGTTTGGGCCTCATCAATTTAGATGAGCCATTGTCTTTGCCATTAAGCATGTCATCTTGATGCATGATATTACCATCCTTTATTTTACAGTCTGTTTATGACATGAGACTTTGAGCCCTTTTGACCTTACCAAGATATCTTGGTTTGTGCCTAATTTTGCAAAATCGAAGTGTATTTTATGTGCTTTTTTAAGATGAACAGAACTATAACCCTACGCCACATTAGTTTTCAAGAGTTGTCTCACAACTTGTAAAGCCACATATCTAGAATTCAAAAAATATTGTTCATTTAGTCTTTAAATCAAATGGTGGAAGGAAAAAGATTGTAAAATAAAATAAATCAGGGCCTTAAATGTGAGACAGCTGACTCAAGTTATGAAAAAAACTCTGACTAAAATGATGAAACTCTCAAAAAGATATCATAAAATGATGGAACTATCATAAAATAGAACAAAACGAAGATTTTGTTATTAAGTGTGAATTAAAGATTGAATTTTGACATGTTCTTGCCCACATCTACGTTTGCAATAGTAATCTTTCTGGCCGATCTTGTTCACAAGTTAAGGTCATGTCCTATTTATCACAAAAAGTCATGCAGCTCCTAAGCACGCCTAATCTAGGTGAAAGATCTAGATTAAAAATCTTCGTTTGGCTTAAAACAGCGATGAATGGTCATGTGAGAAAGACTTGTTCAGTAAAGTGATCGTAATTGAGATATCTTTGTGTGTTGAAGGTAATGGTTCCACAGCCTATGAGAAGTTGTTTCACATTTCTTTTCATTGGTGTATCTTTGTGACAGTTTCTCACTAAATGCTCCATCAGAGAAGTGAGTTTGGACAATGTTTGAATCCTTTGGTCAAACATTTATAGTCTCTTCGCTAATCTAGTGATTTGCACCTCATTCAAGTGCTAATCTAGCCAAGATTCCCATTTTTTTCACCATAATAAAATTCTATGATCCCAGTTATGATTGACTTTTACTGCATTAAGGTTCCATCGGTGGCAGCCATACATCGAAGTGTACATCCACAGCTGTGGAGGGGGGCACCACAGCTGGCTTGTGGGTCCGGGCCATTCCTACGAATGGTCACTTACGCTTTACGAGTGCCGGGCACATATATTCACTCTATTGACCCAAAATACCCGAGCAAGAATTGCTGCTGGTCCCTGGACCACACTGGAATAAGAGGCATTGTCTTCTAATTAATGGAAACAAGGGTCAGGTGTAGTGCCGATGATTGAATAGAAAATGGCGGCTTAGACAGAGAAAGGACTGAAAACGAGGGCTCAGGCCCATCAATTCCAACCGAGTAGTCCGGGAAGAAGACGATGGTCACCGACACAAGCTTGCACGTGGATTGATTCCTACGTGTGGATTTGCCCCGTTATCTTAGCGAGTTGAAGGTTATCTCCCAAATTTCAGCGATGCTGCTTGGAATGTGAGGGTGTGTATACCTGAGATGAGACGTAAGATCCAAATCGGGTTGGCGCCTCCTTCTCCCCTCTTCCTAAGACGGGAGAGGTGTCCATCCATCCTTCATCGGGCAACTGCTCGAGGGGAGAGGGAACTGAGTTAAGACATGCTTCTACTACATAACTAACTGTTCCAATTGAGTTTGACGATTCTCAAACGCGGCAGAAGAATCTATCAATCAAATGTAGTTTCACGGATTGATTTGTCGATCAGATGTATAAAGTTTAACGGCAGGGAGATACTTCCGTGGTGGGTCTTTCCTTTAATGAGAGATCAAATGCTAGGTCTGCCACCGTGAAGAGCTCCTCCCCGCCATACGTTGAGATGGTTTGTGGTTGGTTCAAAGTGCACTGCTCATATGATGGAAGCAACATCCGTTCAGAGTCTGCACTCTCTCAGGACTTGCGGGCTCGCTTCATTTCCGGACCTGGCCGGAAAGTGTTCTTGCCTCTATCATTAGCTCGGGTAGTCCCTGTTTCTGGTGTTTCAGTCACCTTTCGATGGACTCTCTTACTGTGATTAGTCTGGGCTGTTCCCGAGCCAGGTTCCTTGCAGCCTATGCATCAATCCCATTCGTGGCTATCTGAACTATTGTTATTGATCCAACCTCTAGCAATTCCTTTTGAAAAAGGGGCCTAGCGCTTGAAGGCATCAATTCCATAAGCCTTAGGGTTAGAAGTTCCTTGCTTTCCTTAGGTCTGGGGAAGAGAGGAAGGCAGAACCAAAGACGGGTCGAATAATGACTCCCAAACGGGATAAAAGAAAGCTCTCCCACAGAGGAGAAAGGGAAAGAGTCACGAAAGCGCAACACTGGAAATTGACCCCCATTCAGTGACAATCGGTGAGATCCTACCTGTTTTGCAGTCAGCTTAAGTGGCGCGGAGGTCTACTTCTGCCGAGCAAGTCGTGTAGATCGCACTCGCCACCCTCCGGCGGCTTTCCTCCCCGGTTGACCACATGGCGGTGCTGGCGACATCATTGGATTGAGTTCCTTTGATCAAATCTAACTGCGACACCTCAATATCATTACCCCGTATCAATGTGTTGTTACTATCATCATTATTATTATTTGAGAAGCAAAATGAGGAAGAGCAGTGGAGGGAGTCTCGGAGGACGACCCCGCCACACGTACTGTAGCACAGCTGCCGAAGGTGAAGGTTCTTTAATTAATGACGGCTTGGAAATAGGTGGGTGGGTTGCGTGCTGCGAATCGAGTCTTCTTGGACTTAAATGCGAGCTCTGGTGCAGAACATGGGCAGCATTTATTCGACCGGTCAAGGATTTTTTGATTGTGCAAGGACGCATGTACGTATATTATGTATGGGGGAGGGAGGGAGGGAGAGAGAGAGAGAGATACGACAGTTGTTTATACGGTCTTCACGATCTGATTCTACGAGAAAATTCAGATGCATGCGCGTCTGTCTAGATTGCCAAAGGATTCGAAGGAGGGTCGTTGGGTCGTCGCAACCCATGTGACTTCCATGCCTTCTCGGACGCCTTCCAGCGCAGGCCAGCAGGGTTTGCGGGCCTCTCGACGCACCAAAGACGCGTCCTTGACGACGACTGATCCATTTTTGAGAGACTCTTAAATTTGAGGTCTACTCCGAGAGCGACGAGACGGAGGGGACCGTACCCGAGCGGGAGTTCCGTGCGGGATAATGGACGAGCTTTTCTCTAATGGTGTAGTAGACATGCTCACCCATCCAGCCTCTAGGATATCCGAGTCTAACGCTCAGGTAAAGTCCTTTGATGCCAACATTAGCTGGTGAAAACAGAAGAACACTAGGGGCGGGAGTCTCCTCTTCCGGAGGACAACTGGTACGAAATCTACGTGCGCGGGCACTGGTGTCTCGCGGAAGAGGAAGGGAGAGAGAGAGAGAGAGAGAGAGAGAGAGAAGTATAAGTCCACCGTGTGAACCGAAGGGGAAGGGAAAATAAGATGAGACAGTCTCAGAAGGTACGACGGGCCTGTTTGGAACCAATCTAATGGGTGTTTCGACGGATGACTGGCGCGCGTGGGCGGGTGTGCACTGTGCTCACATGGGTGTTTGAGGGCGGCGGTGGAGTGTTTGGTTTCCCTTCCACGGGGGGTGGGAGGGAGTAGTTGGGCTCTCTCCCTCTTTTCGTGAATGGTGGCGATGTTCGGAGGAGGAAGGGCAAGGCTTCGCGACAGGAAGCCTGTGATCCCCGAGCAAAGGCAAAGGCACGGCGGCGCCAGTCGCCGATGACTTTGAGTGGACGATTCATTCTTCAAACATGTACCCAACTCAGAGGAAGAGACTAAGCTCCGTCGGCCTTGTCGAATGAAAACGTCGGCGTGTCGTGTCCCTACCTCCGAAACTTCTGTTGAATGCACACCCCCTGCAGGGAAGCTCCTCCGGTAAAAACCGTTTTCGGGCCGAGATTTGGTCTCTTCAGTCCCCCCGCCGGCGCGTTCCACTGTTTATCTGACCTGGTTCCAACCCCCGTTCTCCCTCCCCCCCTGCGCGCGCATACTTTACTGACGGCACTGCTAAGATGCCATCTCATGGATACGACGGTGAATCTCAAAGACGCTCGAGTGAGGATCCGGTCTCTATCTGTCTGTCTGTCTCTCTCTCTCTCTCTCCCCGGTCTCTGCCTCTCCCAACGCTCTTTCTCTCAGTCTCTACTTTCCATCAGTCTCTGTCCTCTCTCTTATCTGTCCTCCACTTCCTCGCTAGTGGTGCTATATAAGCACCGTTCTTCCGATTTCCCTATAGGACTTGCATTCATTTTCATTTCAGTCCTGAAACTTCCGAAGCTTCTGCTCTGCCTCTCTTTCTCTCTCTCCCTCCATCTCCTTCCTCCTCAAGTACAGTCCGTCGGCAGTCTGCCATCGGCAGGTCGGGTGCATCACGATGGCATCCAGACTCGCTCCCCTTTTCCTCCTGCTCTTCGTCTGTTGCACCCACGTCGGTAGAGTCAACGTCCAAGCCGCCGATTTCTCCCCGTCCCCGGTTCTCATATCCACCATTCGCTCCACTCTCGACGAAATCGGCAGTGTTCTCTCCGTCCTCTCCACCTTCTCGGGGCCGCTTCTCGGGGGAGACCTCCGAGTTTCCTCAGCCGTCCAAGACTGCGTCGATCTTCTCTCCCTTTCGTCCGACGAGCTCGGTTGGACCCTCTCCACCGCCTCGCCCTCCACGGCTGGCGTGAGGGAAAAGTTGTCCGCGGGCACCGGCAACAAGCATTTCGATCTGCGATCGTGGCTCAGCGCCGCCCTCGGTAACCAGGAGACCTGCGCCGAGAGCTTCCAAGGCACCGACGATGTTGTGAAGTCGCTCGTCGTCGGCAGCCTCGACACGATCACCTCCTTGGTCTACCAGGTCCTCACGCAGGTCCCCAACGCCAAGGGCCTCCCAGGCGACCGCTGGATGAAGACTGGCAAAAGGAAACTCTTGGACTCGGCGGGCTTTCCGATCTGGATGACCGCAGAGGACCGGCGTTTTCTACAGGGGCCCGCGACGTCATTTCAGCCGGACGTGGTGGTCTCTGCCGACGGCAGCGGCGACTACAAGACAGTCGGGGAGGCCGTGGAGAAGGCGCCGCTGGAGAGCGAGAAGAGGTTTGTGATCTACGTGAAGAAGGGGGTGTACAAGGAGAACGTGGACATCAAGAAGAAGAAGTGGAATGTCGTCGTCGTCGGCGACGGCATGGGTGCCACAGTGATCTCCGGTGCCCGCAATTACGTCGACGGGTGGACGACCTACCGCTCTGCCACGTTCGGTAAGCGGCCGCAATTCGCATTCTCCCTCTTTCTCCAGTCGCTTTCCTGGATCAGGCTGTCAGCGCTGGAGCCGAGACGCGCATAGCTTCGGGCACCACGCTCGGACGAAGCCTCCCACCAGGTCTTTACTGCGTTCAGCTGGGACATTACAGTTGAGAGCAGCACTCGTATTTTAATAACTTGTTTAGAACTCTTCCCATCTCCGATCAGTCGCATTCTGTTTTTAATTGACCAAAAACTATCGACTGCAGCCCACATCAGTCAACGTTGAGGGTCTCGAGGTCAGATACGTTTTGACGATCGGATGCATAAATATAAGCAAATAACGATTCTAGGATTGATTAATTGCGCATTAATACTGACAGGCTACTTGTTTACTGCCTTTTGCCCCCGAGCTCATTATAATGTCTGTGGACAGCGGTCTCCGGGAAGGGGTTCCTTGCGCGAGGCCTGACGGTGGAGAACACGGCCGGCCCAGCGAAGCACCAGGCTGTCGCCTTCCGGTCGGACTCGGACCTCTCCGCCCTCTTCCAGGTGGAGTTCCTGGGGTACCAGGACACCCTCTACGCCCACTCCCTCCGCCAGTTCTACCGCGAGTGCCGCATCTCCGGCACCATCGACTTCATCTTCGGCAACGCCGCCGCCGTCTTCCAGAGCTGCACTATCGTCGCCCGTCGCCCTCTTCCGAAGCAGAAGAACTCCGTCACCGCCCAGGGTCGCAAGTACGTCGACCAGAACACCGGCTTCTCCATCCACGGGTGCAACATCTCCGTGGAGGGCGACAACTCGAGCGGAACGGTGGCGGTGGCGCCGGCGATAACGTACCTCGGGCGGCCGTGGAAGAAGTACTCGAGGACGGTCGTCATGCAGTCGTACCTGGGCTCGGGGATTCCGCCGGAGGGGTGGCTCGAGTGGGCGGGGAACTTCGCCCTCGACACGCTCTACTACGGGGAGTACATGAACTACGGCCCGGGCTCGGGACTGAGCGGCCGCGTTAAATGGGCGGGTTTCCACGCTATCACTGACCCCGCGGTGGCGGTCAACTTCTCCGTTGCCCAGTTCATCGACGGGAACCAGTGGCTGCCGGCGACGGGGGTCAGGTATACGGCGGGGCTGACTGTTTGATGGCCCAACCACCATGCAGATCGTATCCTTGTTCGACACGTTGTGTAATAAGTCGCTATTTGTGTCGCGGATTAGGCATCATGTACAGAGAATAATGGCCCAAATCAAACTGGTCCCATTGGGTACCCGTTTGTGGCCGGCGACATTACTTGACTTGACGCATGCATATATCTCGCGGGTCGTCCCCTCCCTCCCGAGGAATTGCCGGCGGAGTCGCCGCCGGAGCAGTCCTCCGGCGCCGCGATTGGGGAGACGACCCGCAATGAATAGATTACGACCGGTGGGAGGAAAAAGCGTCGGCTTTTGCCCCGTGGTCAACGGTGCTTTCGATGCGGGGGCGTATCTGCCGCCGGTGTCCACGTGCGCTGCTCTTTGATGGGTCTCACATGTCTTACCTTCGTTGTTCACGCCCCGGTTGGGACCTCCTTTGATGGGATGTCTGCGGCTTCACCTTGCTCGCACCTCACCTCATTAACTACCACTGCACTGCGACTCCTCCCCGTCGCCCTCGCCTTCTGCCTCCTCTCCCGTGAACCCCCGACCCTCATCCATGGCTGCCTCTTCCGCCCCTCGTCTCCCTCGGCCAGTATCCACCCTGCCACTGCTTGTAACTCTGGTACTGTTTCTTATGTCACCCTCACCGTCATCTGCCTCCGCCCCGACCAACACCTCTCTCCCCACAGGGGACGCCCCCCTCACGTCCATTAGGGCTCTCTGCCGCTCCACCCCGCATCCAGATGCTTGTTTCGACTCCCTCAAGGTATCTATCAAGACCGACGCCGTCCCCTCCATCCTCTCTCTCGTCTCTCTTTTCATCCGGTTCACCATCGCCGAAGCCGCCAAGATCTCTGCCGTCATCACCTCCTCCCAAGGCATCTCAGAGGGGCTTCGAGGGTCACTTCAGGACTGTGAAGAGCTCCACCAGATCACCCTCTCCTCCTTGAACAAGTGCGCCGCCGTCCTCCAGTCCGGCCGGCAGCTCTCCGATGTCCGCACGCATCTCAGCGCCGCCCTTACCAACAGCGCCACCTGCCTCGAGGGCCTCTCTGTGGCGTCGGGCCCGGTGAAGCCCATTCTCGTCGAGTTGCTGACTGCGGCAAACAAGCACATCAGAAACTCCCTCGGCATTCTCCCATCGGAGATACGGCGACGGACCCCAGGTCACTGGCGGCCCCACGACGAACGGCTAATTGCGTGGCTCTCCCGCCGCAAGAGCCGGCTTCTACAGAGTGGAGATGTCGACGATGGGTACGACCGGGGCTCAATTCTGTCGGTTGCAGCCGATGGCAAAGGTAACTTCACGACGCTCGGCGCCGCCATCAATTTCGCGCCAAACAACAGCGCGGACCGAACGATCATCATCGTGCGTGCCGGCGTGTACGAGGAGAACGTAGAGGTACCGAGCTACAAGACCAACATCGTTCTCCTGGGCGATGGCAGCGGCGTTACCATAATCCGCGGTCGCCGGAGCGCCGGCGACGGCTGGACCACCTTCCGGTCCGCCACTGTCGGTGAGTATCCGCCACCACGGAAACCCACCCTATTCCCTGCAAGCTTCTACAACTACAGATCTATTCGAATCGGAATTCATCCGTAGAACCATTCACGTGACGGTCCAACTTTCTGGCCTGCGACCTCATCTTGGTTGACCAAGTCCGTCGGAGGGTTCACCTGTGTGGGCCCGGGCCACGAATCGAGGTTCGACCATAGTAATGGGAAGCCATGCATGGCCGGCCTCTCTGTGAGCCGTCTGCGTCTTGGAGGAGGTGGCCGAGTGATGGCAGAGTGAGTTCCCACCCCTCGGTCCGAGGACCAACGTGCCGATCGAACTACGTTGAAATTCTACCGGGCATGGACAAACGACCCACCTCTTCGTTGATTGACAGTCATGTTTTTGAGTTCCCGTCTTCATCCCGAGTAGAAACCAGGGAGACTAATCCGTCGGATTTGTCCAGATGTTAGATGCTTGGGGTCTTCCCTTGATTATGCTCTGATTGTCTCGTCGCTGATTCTCTGCACTGTTCAATACCCTCTGTCAGCCGTATCCGGTGAAGGATTCCTCGCACGGGACATAGCTTTCGACAACGCAGCGGGGGCAGCGAAGGGCCAGGCATCGGCCCTCCGAGTGAACGCTGACCTCGCGGCGTTCTACCGCTGCGTCATGACGGGATACCAAGACACCCTCTATGTGCACTCCTTCCGCCAGTTCTACCGGGAGTGCGACATCTACGGTACCATCGACTTCATCTTCGGCAACGCTGCCGTCGTGTTCCAGGCCTGCAATATCTTCGCCCGGATGCCCATCCCCGGTCAGGCCAACGCCATCATCGCCCAAGGCCGCGACGACCCCAACCAGAACACCGGCATCTCCATTCAGAACTGCACCATCCTCGCCTCGAAAGAACTCCCGTCGGGCCTGGGGAGCACCCAGACCTACCTCGGCCGGCCGTGGAAGCTTTACTCGAGGACGGTGTACGTGAAGTCCTACATCGACCGCTTGATAGACCCGGCCGGGTGGTCGGAGTGGGTGGGGGATCAGGGACTGAGGACGCTCTACTTCGGCGAGTACGCGAACAGCGGGCCGGGGTCGGCGACGGAGGAACGAGTCAAGTGGCCGGGCTACCATCTCATGGGCTACGACGATGCCGTTAGCTTCACCGTCTCCGAGCTCATCTCAGGCGACGGATGGCTGGAGTCGACGTCCTTCCCCTTCGACGCTGGGCTGTGATAGACATTTCCCTTCGATTCACACAGGGCGCCAACATCCGCGGGAGGCTGGATTACAAATAAGGTCATGGCGAGCGTTACTCCTTGCCAGACTTGTCGTCCTTGGATTCCTCCTCCCAGAAATACTCTCATGAACGGGTAGCAAAAGCTGGTTGCCACCCGCCGACACCGTGACACACTGCGGCCGTTGCCCGGACCAGCCGAACTGCAGCCAAATACGTTTGTTTTCCTACGAGACGGTGGAATAATGGCAAAGAACTGTATCGGCCACGTAAGACGGAGGAGCAAGCACCGAGATCGTCGGGTTCGATATCGAGGGAGCTCGTTGCAGGGGTCAAAGGATGGGGGGATTCGATCCGTAACTCCGCTGAAAGAATAAACCAGCAATGCGCAGATAGATTTATCGATACGTCGAGACGGTTTCATGTTTTGACCCAGGCCCGTTCGCCAGCAGGTGAAGACGATATACGGACGGACGATGAGCCCTTTGAAATCGTTGCCTCGGTGCTTTTTTTGGACCTGAACTTAGGGCGGGGGGAAGGCCAGCGCAGCGGCTAAACCTCGTTTCTCAGGACGGGTGGACGGATTCTCCGGAACGACGGCCAGCCTTACGTTCACGACGACGGGCTGTTCCTCGACCGCAACCGTCGTCTTCTGGGCGGAGCACCTCAAAGTTCTCGAAGCCTCATCCCCTTTAACGAGACGCGGAGGTTCGATCGTTTGCGAGTGAGGATGTATTTGGTCAAGAAGTGGGAGAAAGTTCCTATCTTTTGATCCACTGTTGAACGTCCACCACGCCCAGTTCGTTCTCTTCCTTCTTCTGCCTCCGCCGCCCTCTCTGCCTTGCCGTATAGCTCGGAGGGCAGGCAGGGAGGGGTTCCTCTTCGGTCTCGGAGTAGAAAAGCCAGGAACGCCACGATGTTCCAGGACTTCGGGCACCTCACGGAGCGCCGGAGGGCGGAGAGGGAACAGAGAAAGAAGAAGATCATCATAGTCAGCTGCTCGGTCGCGCTCCTCCTGGTCGTCGTTCTCGGCGTCGTCGCGAGTCTGCACATCTTCACAAAGGACCCCTCTAACGTGTCCGCCACCTCTGGTGGACTCCGCACCACATCGAGGACCATTGAGCTGATATGTTCCTCGACCGACTTCAAGCACGCTTGCGAGTCAAGCCTGTCAAGGGTGCTCAATTCCTCCGCCGGTAACTCCACCTCCACCGACCTCCAGCCAAGGGATCTCATCAAGGCGGCCATTGCCGCCGTCGCCGACGAGGTTTCCGAGGCCTTCAGCCAGGCCAAGCTGATCAAGACCGACGACCCCATGGTCGAAGGCGCAGTCGAGGATTGCAAGGGCCTCTACCATTATGCCAAGGACGAGCTCTTGCAGACGCTCAGGGACGTCGGGAAGAGTCCGGCGGAGCAGCTTCCAAAGAAGGAACACGACCTCAAGAACTGGCTAAGCGCCGTCATGTCGTACCAGCAGACTTGCATCGACGGCTTCCCCGAGGGGGAGTTCAAGACCAAAATGGAGAACGCCATGAAGACCGCCAAGCAGCTCACTAGTAATGCCCTTGCCATCGTCGCCCAGGCCGCTTCACTCTTCTCCATGCTCGACGTCCGTGGGCTGAGGGTCCGCCGCCGTCTAATGTCCGACGCGGATGGTCTCCCGGCGTGGGTACCGGAGGGGGACCGAAGGCTGCTGAAAGAAAAGGTGACGAAGAACCTGAAGCCGAACGTTGTGGTGGCGAAGGACGGCAGCGGGGACTTCAGGACTATCTCTGCCGCGCTCGCCGCTATCTCGGAGAAATACCATGGAAGGTAATGAAAGGTCCACGGCACCTGCCGCCGAACGCAAGAAAAGAGCGATCACCAGGAGCCTGTTAATTCACGGCGTTGACAGCAGATTGTCTTGAATGGCTCAGGTACGTGATCTACGTCAAGGCCGGGATTTACGACGAGAGCCCGACGGTAACGAAGGAGATGGTGAACGTGACCATGTACGGCGATGGCTCGAGGAGGACCGTCGTCACCGGAAGCAAGAACTTCGTGGATGGGACGAGGACGTTCCAGACAGCGACATTTAGTGAGTGATTATCATTTGTATTAACATGTGGCTGTAGTTTAGTGGTTAGAATTCCACGTTGTGGCCGTGGAGACCTGGGCTCGAATCCCAGCAGCCACATCTCTACAGACTAACTTTTTTTTAGTTCATTTTTGGGTCCTCAGAAAATTATTAAAAAACCCCAACATAGTTTAAAACTAAGATGGAAGTACGTTTATGTTTGAATATTTTGGCGCGTCTGGTATTTATTCGTGGTCGCCTATCCTACGTCGGTGTGATGATCCTCTTTCCTTCCCGGATGTACGTACAGTTGCCATCGGAGAGGGCTTCATGGCCATCGCCATGGGGTTCCGCAACACCGCCGGCGCCATCAAGCATCAGGCGGTGGCCATCCGCGTCCAGTCCGACCGCGCCATCTTCCTCAACTGCCGCATGGAGGGCTACCAGGACACGCTCTACGCGCAGACCCACCGGCAGTTCTACCGCGGCTGCGTCGTCGCCGGCACCGTCGACTTCATCTTCGGCGACGCCGCCGCCGTCTTCCAGAACTGCGTGCTCGTGGTCCGCCGCCCCCTCGACAACCAGCAGAACATCGTCACCGCCCAGGGCCGCATCGACCGCCGCGAGTCCACCGGCTTCGTCATCCAAAACTGCCGCTTCGTCGCCGACAAGAAGCTCGCCTTGGCGGGGGCTGCCCCCATCCGAAGTTACCTCGGCCGGCCGTGGAAGGAGTACTCCCGCACCATCATCATGGAGTCTACCATCGGGGACTTTATCCAACCCGACGGCTACATGCCCTGGGACGGGGACTTCGCCCTCAAGACCCTCTATTATGGCGAGTATGGCAACAAGGGCCCCGGCGCCGGGCTGTCGAAGCGCGTAGCGTGGCCGGGGTTCAAGGTGATTGGCAAGGCGGAGGCGCAAGCGTACACGGTGGCGCTCTTTATCCAGGGCGGCGACTGGATCAGGGCCGCCGGCGTTCCGGTGCACCTGGGGATGTACAACTGACGCAGTCGCGCCCTCCGCTCATCTGCCGCCACTACCATGAAGCAGGTTGTGTTTGCCTGCTTCGGGTACTGCCGGTATCGTGAGGTCCACCGTGTTCTGGTGCGCTGTGCCACTGTAAGAGGGAGGAGAGGGACAAGAAGAGAGGGGGAATCTCTCCTCTGGTTTTCCGGTTCGATGGGTTGACGGATGCCTCAACTTGCATGACTATGAAAAGCCCTCTCTCTCTCTCTCTCTCTTACGTGGAAGGAGTCTCACGGCCATGCCCATCGCAGTCTGAGGTCCATGGCTGATGGATAGCCCGCCATGTTCCTCTTCTCCCACTACACGTTGTCGGGAGTCTCTGTTTGCGGGTGGCCTTCCTCTTTTTGCTGCTGCTATCAGGTCCTGTCTGAAGAGGTTGGTTGGCTTTCGGCCGCCGCCGCAACCACCATTGTGATCGGGCCCTTCGGTCACTTAGTGGTTGTCGGGCCGGTGGCCACCACCCTTTTCCCACCTCGGCGTTAAAGCTCTTCAACTGAAGACATGGGGGACTTCGGATCGGCTCGTTTCCCCTCTGTGAAACGAGGGAACGGTGCTTTAATTCCACCAACGAAGGAATCAGATGCTCGGAAAAAGGACCTTTCGATTTCTTTTTTTTATTTTATGAATTAACTTTGCACACGGGAGCCTGGATTTAAATTGGCCACTCTCCTTCCTCCGCTCTATCCTCACGGCAGAGCTGAAGATGAACACCGGAAGGGCTTCTACATTCTTCCCAGCTCTCCTCCTGGTCGCGGTCTTGGTCCGACTGGGGGACTCCGTCCGCTTGCTCGCCGAAGGTGACGTCACTGACTCGATCTCATCGGCCTGCCAGCAGACAGAGTACTTCGACGTCTGCGTATCCACCCTTCAGTCCCGCCCCGACAGCCAGAATGCCGACGTGAAGGGCCTTGCTCTGATCTCTCTCAATGCCTGCATTGCCCACGCCGAGGGGACGCTCGCCTACGCGAGGCAACTAAGGAGCAACGCCACCGCCGCCGCAGGACATGGCGGCGACGACTACGCGACGCGGTGCCTGGATGACTGTCTGACCCAGTATTCGGACGCGCTGGACGACCTTAGGGAGTCGGTGGCGGACGCCCAGGACGGCGCCTACGGATCGGTCAACGCGAGGGTCTCCGGAGCCATGACGGACTCCGACTCGTGCGAAGACGGGTTTGCGGAGCAGCCGGGCTACAGCTCGCCGCTGACGGAGAGGAACGACTTCTTCTCCAAGCTCTGCAGCAATGCTCTCGCCATCACTCGCCTCTTGTCCTGAGAATCGAAGGCAGACTCTCATTCCTCCGATCTCTTCTTGCGAGTCAGATCTTATTGGACCGAGCCCAAAGCGGCCGCGGCCCATTGCAAGGGCATCAGGCAGGGGGCTAGAGGGGTGTAGAATGCAAACCTACAAAATAAGGGGATTGGAGGGTGGTCTGATAATGCTTCTCCTCAAGTATGAGAAAAGGCTTAGATATTGCTCTCCAATTGAGAAAAGGCCCGCGTTTATGCGCGAAACCATTTTCATTGGTCGAGACGAAGCTTCGGCGAGCAAGGAAACCTCTGAATAGTGCCTGTCACCCAAGTCGTAGTGCAAGAAGTCAATCGCATTAAGTCACGCGTTCAGAAAAAAATGATTTGATAACGCCCTCGTGATATCACAGTCGATAGTTATTCTTATTAGAGCCTTTTGTTTTATTTCCGCAAGGCTTTAGCGTTGACTTTAAAGCGATCGACTACCCTGGAACAAGAAGAAGAAAATATGAAGAATAAATGGAATAAGGAGATCGAATGGACAGCACCCCTCCACTTCTTGATAATTATCCATGACCGGGTATACGATGCGGCCCGCAGAGTCCGTTGTATTCAGTGGGGGTTCGTGATAAGAATAACTCAACGTATTGATTGCTCAGCAAAAAGACCCCGCCCACCCTAATAGACGTCTGCCCAATAACACGAGAGTCAGAGAGGAGACGGGAGAGCCGGAAGCAATACGGCCAGCTATTATATGAAAAGCGTGGCGGCGCCGCCAAGACCTTTTGGTCCACGGAGGAGACTTGTGACGAGTCGCCACTGGCCATAATGAACGACAAGCAACCCGCCACATGAGACTGACTTATGTCTCGAAGATGCCCCTTTCTTTCTTTCGATGTCTCTTGGTGGACGCAGAGGGAGACTACGCCAGTGACGGTTCACCCGCTTCGGTTTCGGACATAGCTGTATTGATCCCCCTCCCCCGCGCGTCTAACGGGCAGTTGTTTGCTGGTATCGGAGAGCGTCATAATGGGGGCAGCGATTCAGAAATGGATGCTTCAGGCGGGGAGATCTGGCGGTCATCAGCCGGATGGTCCTCTGAGGGGGTTGGTTTTCGCGGCACTCAATATCTTATCCCCACAACAGTCTGTACGCAGGGTAGCGAGAGAAGTCTCCTCTTAAAATACGGACACTTCCCTTCTTTATGTCTGGCGAGAGGGCAGGTACCCCGACGATGCGAGGGCAGGAGCAGGCCATGGGGCATACCGGACGGGGCTTCAACACACACTTCCCACCAAGAGGACAGGTGAATAGCTACCTTTGCCCGGACCGGAAATCGTCGCCTTCCCCTTGTTCCCTGTACAACGACAATGGGACGACATTTCAACGAGGGGCCAATGTGGGCCGCGGGACCTTCTTTGGGTCTTGTTCGATTCCGAAGGAGTCGTTCGGCCGCGCCCGACCTTGTAAGGGAGTGCTAACTGAGAGAGGAATGAAGAAGCCCTGTGAATCAGAGCCTACCCACTCCAATTTCAATATTAGAGCTAGCAGTGTTAATTTCCAATAGGGGATGCATTGCAAACTGGAGGAGAGGCCAGGTGTCAGGCGGTACAAAAAGATGTATGCTTACGACCCCGACATATGAACATATACGTGCACCTTTCCCATTGTGACAATTGGAACTTCGTTGTCGTGATTTATAAGTTCACGTCATGATGCATAAGCCACACCCACTCCCACCAAGGCTAGTCCTTGAAACGGGAGAAGACAGCTCCCTGGTCACTCACATGAATAGACTAATCACCTACCAGTAAGACCTTGAAGACCTCGATGGGGACGGCTTCGAGGTCCCAATACTCATATAACCCGGCAAACAGCAATGTTAGTCCGTGTGCTTGGGCGAAGTCCGGATCGCTCGGTTGAGAGAAGGATGTCCTGGTGGACTTTCTGTTCCCGCTCCTTCTCTGTGAGACCATGTCTCCTCCTCTCCCTGTTTGCTTCACTGCTGGCCTTCTCGTGGATCACGGTAGCCAACGGGAAGGCATCCTACGCAGAAGATGTCCGCAGAGTATGTGGATACGCCAGGTATCCGCAACAGTGCGTTGACACCCTGCTTTCTAGACGTGAGCCATCGTTCGGACAGGATTTTGCTGGCGTTGCTTCCGTTCTTGTAGAGACGATCAGAGATGAGGTGACGCCGGGAGTTTCCATGTCCTCCTCACTTGAGGCTGTGGAAATATCGGGAGCACGAGAGGCCATAGGTAGGCGATTTTTGCAAGGCCGTCAACTTTTACGTACTCGTGGTTACAAAATTTACCTTATATAGGCCAGCAGATATCACGTACTGATCCCTGTGGCATGAACTTGCAGGTTACTGTAATGAGCTCATGGAAATGTCCATTAGAAGGCTCAATCAGTCCCTGAAAGCGCTCGAGGTCGCACCTGTCAAGGACAAACAGAACATCCAGACATGGTTGAGCGCCGTAATCACGTTTCAGGAATCGTGCAAGGACTCCGTCAGCGAGCTACCCAGCGGGTTGTCAAAAGAGATGACCAGCAAGATGGAACACCTGGCCGTGCTATCCAGTAACGCCCTCGCCCTTGCCAATCGCATCCCCGAGGATGCGGAAACCCGGGGCTCCCGCCGCCACGTCTCTGAGCTGGATTTTCCGACGTGGGTCTCCAAGGAGAATCGTAAGCTCCTCGGTGGCGCCGACATAAAGGCTACTGCGGTTGTGGCGGCCGACGGCTCTGGGGATTACACCTCGATAAGAGCCGCGCTTGCTGGCAGTTCTGGCGGTGGCCGAACTGTGATCTTCCTGAAGGCAGGAGTATACAGGGAGAAGCTCACTGTGAGCAGAGACGACGTGACGTTGGTGGGAGATGGGAAGTACTCGACGATCATCAGCTTCGGTTCTAGCGCCGCCGGCGGCACGTCCATGCCCGACACTGCAACTGTTGGTAGGTTATCCGAACCCTTTCGTGGATTCTGGTAGGAACAACAACAAATGATAAAGATGTCTGTTTATCGTTGCTTCTTTTTTCTTTTTTATTTCATATATATCTTGGTTGCACGCAGTTTACTGGTCAACTCGTCAACCATCCGCAGTTACTGTTCTATTTCTCCAAGATATCGATGACAACAGTTTATGTTAAAAGTTTTATTCGAGTAGAATTCTGAAGGCGCATCTTTTCCGCACAGAGGTTACAGTTTTGTTCTCATCATCCGGGGGAGTCACATGTGTTTTCAGGCTTTTCATTGCTAACGGCTACCGCGTAGTGAATGACGTTCCCATTTGTTCTAAAATGGTCCAACCTGTAATTGCAGCGGTCACGGGGGACCGATTCATTGCGAAGGACATCGGGTTCGAGAACACGGCAGGCCCCGCTGGCGGCCAGGCCCTTGCCCTTAGGGTCATTTCCGACCGCGCCGTCTTCTACCGTTGTAGCATCCGGGGTTACCAGGACACGCTCTACGCCCATTCTCTACGGCAGTTTTACCGGGAGTGCGACATACAAGGCACCGTCGACTTCATCTTCGGAAACGCAGCCGCCGTCTTCCAGAGCTGCAACCTGGTCTTCCGTCGGCCGAGATCTGGGGGCTATGACGTCATGATGGCCAACGGTCGGACGGACCCCGGCCAGAACACAGGGTTCGTTGCCCAGAAGTGCAACATTCAAGCCGGCTCCGGCCTCTCGGGTAGCTCTTACCTTGGCCGTCCGTGGAAGCAGTACTCGAGGGCAGTCATCATTCAATCTACCATTGGCGGCTTCATTAATCCCAGAGGGTGGGCCGAGTGGTCCGGCGGATTTGCCCTCCGCACGCTCTACTTCGCCGAGGGACTCAACCAGGGATCGGGTGCCGGGACCTCGAACCGGGTTAACTGGCCCGGGTTCCACGCTATTGGTTCCAGCGAGAGTTCCAAGTTCACCGTGTCAAATTTCATCCAAGGAACTTCATGGATTCCTTCGGGGGTGACTTATCAACCCGGCCTCTAGGCAGTCACCTTGAAATAAGGTTGATAATGACCGTAAGGTCGATGTGTCTACATGCACAAAAATTATCTTTTCTGAACATGAATAAATGGAGATCCACGTTTGCCTTCGTCGGCTGGGAAACAGCTCATCCCAAAGGCCTTGTGATCTTCAGTGGATCTCCCTCCAAAGTATGTTACATCACAACGGGATTTTTTTTTTCCATGCTTTCTTCACTATCTCAATATCTTCATCTACAAGGGACTTGTTATCCGTAGTCGGCAGTAGGACATATTTGATCGCTATGTGTCCCTACCCTACTCACGCGGGAATACTTGACAACGCCTGGCTGCCAAAATGATTAAGCGCATTCGCGTCTTAGTTGTCTTCCTAAGTTCGTTCGGTATGGTCGTAACCTTAATTACGATGCGGACAAGGGAGGAATTGAATCCTTCGCATGGCCCACAAAATTAACTATCAACATGATGTGGATGCCCACATGCCCCACAGTAATACGAATAATCACTCAACTATGTTTTAACACTATTTTTTTAATGGATATTAATGTTCGCCAATAGGCAATGTGGAGCGTTGTAGACATTCCAATAGAACTTTAGACCCTCTGCACGGGAATGGATAGCATGGAGATGCGAAATGTCGGTCGAGAGATTAAAAAACGAAACTCTTAAGATTTTGTGACTCAGGTGGCAGAAACAAAATCTTTCGAACTGATCTGAGTTTCATATTACGTCAGAGTACCCTCGGCAATGTTTTCGCGTTGGTTAAAAAATTCGAGTCGCAATGGACTAGATTTATCGGTGGGAAAGCTACGGTAGTCAGCAAATCATTGTCTTCAATTTACTAAGACTTTCACTGAACAGCGAAGTTCCAATAGTTATGAGTCAAAATTGACGTGGCTTCGACGATGAATTCCACGTGCAAAGACTCTTCTCCTACATTTATGGCTGTCTACTAGATGAAGGAAATGAATATGACGCAGGTGCCTTGTTGCTTTCTCCTTGCCATTGACCGCTGTAACTCATTAAGTGGGAAACTTTCTTTCGTCCAATACTACCAGGAAATGGTTGAATTGCAATCCCACCCTCACAACAGTCTGTTGACCGGAGATCGTTCTTTTCCCGGAACAAAGTTCCGAGGACATCCACCTTTTCGTAGATGCAGACTTTGGACATTGAGGCAGCGCCTGACTCTTTCGGATGAACATTAGGTACCAATCTTCTCAGGGAAACAGTGATTGAGTATTTGCTTTGCTGCAGGAGCCAAAAAGCATGGGAAGATCAACTCTTTTATCCGAGTTCCGGCCCCCCACATCCATCTAATACTCTCCATTTCGAGGTCTGATTTTGAGTTCTTGTGGCTCTTACCTAATATCACTTTTGACGAGATAAGTCTTGGATCAACATGTCACGCTTCCTGACTTACTTCTGCTTAAAAAAAATCGAAAATGGATGGGGACGCCAGGGAGAGTAAAATTAAGCTTTTTTAAGACGTCCACATCAGACCGGAGACCAGGAGGCCAATATAACAATGAGATGCTCACTTAAATATTCTCCATCTTTATGTTTACACGATGTTCCCATGTGACCAGAACCTTTGGGTGCATTCTATGGACTGTCAGCACAGGAATTTGGCATGGCGTGGCCTAGTACCAGTGGAACTATCAGATATTCCCGCCGACTGAACAACCGGCCATTTTGGTTCGAGACAGATCAAGCAGGTTGTTATTTCATTTCATCTTGCTCAACAGCATGGTTTATTTATCGTGATGTATAGTTCGGCCCCAATCGTTAACCGGTCGACGTGCCCACAGCTCGGCTTGTCGGAGCATCTTTCACGTGGTTATGTATTGTTAACTAGGATGTCAAACGGAGATCAGTGAGAAACGATTGGATTTTTAATTGAAGAAGTTGAAAAAGAAAAAGAAGAGGAAAACAGTGAAATAAGATTCGCATCAATTTAATAAAATACGAATGAACGAATGATGTGTATTCTTCCAGCGTTGCGGTTCCTGGAGGGTACGTTGATCTGTGAGATCCTTGCGCTGCTGTCGCAGTAGGACTCGAGACCGCTATGGAGACTGTCCTCTCCTCTCCTCGCATAACCACAGCGCCGCCAACCAGGCCACACAGACACAGAAGGGAAAAAGAGGTTCCGAGTAACTGATGGGGAGGTCAGAGGTGGGGAGACACCTTGAAATACAGCCGTCTAGGGAGCTAAGTTCGGACGACAAAATCCATCGGAACAGACGACGGTAGCCCCATCCGTATCCGTATTTATTCGCCACTTATTGTCGGCTTCATATGCACGGCTCTTCTTCTTATCTTGAAAACACGTCTAGTCCTCCGTGGCACATCAACTGCGCCTTCGCCCCTGGTCTTTATAAGACGACGATGAAGTAGAAAAACGGGTTAGTTGGCATGTCGTCGTCGCGAACTATTACGTTAGAAAAGACCGTCCCCGTGTAAGCTTCTGTCTGCCCCCACATGCTTCATCCATACGCATACCCTTACGCAACAGGGACGAAGTCGAAGATAGACCTTCTGAGCCCCATGTTTTCTTCGAAGGCAAATAATCAGATTACCGAGAACTGCTGCTTTTCGTGGTCTTCATCCTTTCACAGGAGATAGGAGTCATTAATTATGATGCTGTCAGCTAGGGATTGTTACTCTCCTACTCGAGTCGGATATTTCATTCTTTGGTTCTCAACGATACTCGCAAGGTGCTTTGTCAGGCAAGAACGCCAACTCAGGTTTCGCTTTGCTGGATACACAAATAAAATGATACAAGGAAGGCTCCCTGAAAGCTCACATTCGAACGGCGAATCGTTCTCATCTAGCAACGTTCATATTGACTGTTGAGACGGAAACTTTAAGGCAAGTCATTTTGGCCTTGAGAAAACATAAAATCCCTGGGCTCATGAAGTGAACGAAAGCAACGGTGAGCATGGCTCAAAATTGGAATGACGAAGAAAGTTTTACGAGTTGCCGTAAATCAGGCAGCTGTGGAAGACTAAGGCAAAGGAGATAACATTATGACAGACAAACTATCATTTTGAGATCTATAGAGCTTATTCCACGTTATGGTCGACTCTGAATCTACGACAACCATAACATTACGTTCTCTCAACGACTTTGAAAATTAATCTTTTCAGCCGGTAAGGTTAACATCGATGATTTTTGGCTTTATAAAACCAAAATGTTATGCAGACTGACAGGAAATTATGAATTACCGAACAGACTTGTTGCACGACTTAAACCGGAAATAGTTAATCAAATACCCAGATTTGGAGTAAATGGAATGCAAAATAAGGCTTAAATACTAGAAGAAGACCATGTCACCGAAATTCTTTTGTTTGTATGTAGGAGATGTAAAATTACACTATAGTTGGAACGCTGAACACAGTTGACAGGCTGGGCGATTGTAAAACCAGCCAGAGTCAGGTGTCTTTTGTAAAGCCCGGCACTGCCTGAGATCACAAGAGCTTTGTAGAGTAGGCTCCATGGAGGCCGGGGGCAACCGAGGCCCGTCCTGGCGGTGGTTGCCACGGCGGGATTGGAGGGAAGAGAGAGTCGGGCCGGTACGGAGGGAGGGCCCGTTAGGTTTGCTGCCACCTACAAGGATGATAATGGCGGGAAGATCTGGCTCGTATAGGCGGATACGAGGATGAGCATCATCGGGAAAGTCATAGAAGTCGTACTCGACGGCGGTCGTGCAAGCCAGCCGGAGAAGGGGAAACTAACAGAAAGAAGGAGAGGTAGTCTCCGGTGGAAGGGAAAAGGGGAAGAGCAGGAGGGTGGTCGCCGAGGAAAAGAGGAGGGCCTCCGGAAAAGGGAATGTGTGTGTGTGTGTGTGTGTGTGTGTGTGAGAGAGAGAGAGAGAGAGAGAGAGAGAAGCAATTATAAGAATTTACAGCACATGGCTAACCCATCAAATGGAGTTCGGCAAAGGTCATGCGTTCTAGAATTTAAAACGCACGAAGTTGCTATTTCCGGTGTCAGGAAGTGGAATGATGAATTGGATAACGGGCTCTTGGTCATCTTTTCCAATGAATGACCTATTGACTCATTTAACGACAAAAACAACGATCCTTTCTGGCATCAATGTGGTTAATTGGTTCGGTAACTTGGGGCCTCGGCCGAGGTCCAGGGGATGAGGAGAAGACCAAGATGACCCTTGCCTAATATATTCCGAGTCTCCTTTGAGACATGGGGGTTGCTCTAAGGCTGATCTTTGCTATAAAGCATTGTCCATTGTATCCTCAACATTTTCTTTGCTGAACAAATGTGTCGCACTTGTCTGATATACACTTACCAACCCACCGATGCTTATCCGAAGCTCCGGACTTCTGAGACGTACTCCACAGGCGTAATGCGGGTCCAAGCGACCAGTACGAGCGCCACAAATCAATGCCGTTTCATCCAAGGAACACATTAAATATCGTTAAACTCTCGGAGAAGAACGAATCGAAGCTTCGGGAGTGGGGAGTGGGGGTAGTCAATGCCACCGTTGTATCTAAGCGCAAGCGCCCACCTTGCCGGCAGCGGTGGGAAAGCATAGACACTTCAACTTGTAGCAGGTATCCGACAAGTCGACCCTTAGGCATAAGGTTAGAGCGCAACCTACTACGATGGACGTCTCACCGAATGAAAGGACACTCCAACACATTTGATCGTTAGGGTATACATAACAGGAAAAGTAAGCCCTGTCGATGTCGACCCGAGGTCGAAGGTCAGTATCTGATTCTTACTGGTAGGAAATAATTGGAGTCACCTGCATACAAATGGCCATGTCAACAGTAATCATAGGAAATCGTCCGTACTATCTTCGTATGAAGAGTAAACTGAATTCCTTTCGTCCAGAGCAATGTATTTTGAGTGAAGGATCATACTAAAAACCAAATAGAGGCTGATGTAAAGTATGCCATGGATTACTGTGTTTTCTATCTTATCTTTGGTCAAATTGGTCTTGGATATAACCATGCAGGTAGCTTTTCCCTATGTATA